ATGGTGGCGCAAATTTAAAAAGTCACGACCAGCCGGCACCAGGGGAAATCGCCGAGACTAATGGAGGATCCGCGAAACAAGACCCTGCACCGACCGGGAAACTCCAGCCGTATACCCCGACAAGTAAGAATATTACTTCTCGTGGGTTTCAAGCCTTTATTAAGGGAGAGTTAGAAATTAAACCGGTACCGGGTATTATGGGGACCCTACCCCAGAGCGCTAATACGGGTCGAGCGTTCCGAGGAGTTAATATTCTCTCCCAGCAGCACTGTTTAAAGGCTCCCTGTTCCCCACAGATGAAGCCTACACAGCTGCAAAGGCTTAGTGGAAGGTTCCAGGCCCAAGAGAAGCCGAATCGGCCTCGGATAAATCCTTCTAACCTTTCTCAGTTGAAAACTGATACTGAAGCTGCATCTTTGAGTGCAGATTCTAGGGATAACATATTCGACGTACCCTACGATTCTATAAGCGATACCATCTACGGATACTCGGAGCAGCAGCAACCACTAGTACTCGAGGTGATCTGCAACGGGCGTCGCCTCCAGGCCCTGGTGGACAGTGGTGCGTCCCACTCGGTGTGCGACCGCGGGACGTTGGAGAAAATTGGAGAATCCTAAGAAGAAACCCAGTTTACAGCAACGATGGTGGACGGTACGAAGCTTCCCATCCACGGAAAGTCAACACTACAGCTGCAGATAGGGGCGTTGAGGTGGAAGCCGACGTTGCCGATCACGAACATCAAGGGATTAGATTTCATCTTGGGGAAAGATTTTCTTAAGCGGTTCAACCCCAAGTTCGACTGGGTCAACCGGAAAACGTGCATCTACATCAACGGGAAACGAGTGGAGCTGCGAAGCTTGACGGATACAGGGAGCGTTCCTGAAACGACACTGGCACGGTTCGAACGGACAGTGAACGAGAGTAACACGGATTACTTAGCACTGGTTATAGCAGCAGCAGAGGAGGAGGTCTTGGAGCAGTACAAGGATATAATGCCCGACGACCTACCCACAAGCGTATCTCCAGCACGCACCCACGAGCACGAGATCGTGAAGGAACCAGGTGCGAAACCCGTCTCACGTGCACCATACCGACTGAGTCCAACTGAACTGACAGACATGAAAAACAAATAGAGTATCTACTAGACAGACAACTGATCCGCCCATCCACCTCTCCCTACGGTGCACCGGTTCTCTTCACTCCAAAGCCAGACGGTAGTTTACGGATGTGCATCGACTACCGCGCACTGAACAAACAGACAGCACTGACTTCAGCGCCAGTACTCATCCTACCGGATCCAGAAAGAGACTACGTGGTGGAAGCAGACGCTAGTGACCAAGCAGTCGGAGCAGTACTGATGCAGCATCACGAACACAATTTGCAGCCCATCGCTTACCTCAGTAAGAAGCTATTACAGTGTAAGAAGGACTTAGCTGTAAGGAAGGGTTCAGGAAAGATTTGGGTACCGAATTACGCCCCGCTACGGCAGATCCTATTGGAGGAGTTTCACGACGTACGTTACGCGGGACATTTCGGGAGCAACAAGACGTTAACAGGGATAGCGAAGTATTACTACTGGCCCGGGATGGCAGCAGACGTGCAGCAGTTCGTCACCTCTTGCGACACGTGCCAGCGGATGAAGAGCAGCAAGCAGAAAAAAGCAGGGTTACTTCAGCCTCTACCCGTACCGGAGCAGCCATGGCAGGTCGTTAGCCTCGACTTCATCACAGGACTTCCTTCAACCTCACGGGGACATGATTCCATCCTCGTGGTGATCGATAAGTTCTCAAAAATGGGTCACTTCATATCGACCAACGCCACAGCTACAGCTGAAGCAACTGCTCGACTCTTCTTCGACCGCATCATCACCATCCACGGCATCCCCGCTACACTCATCTCAGACAGAGACCCCAAATTGATGAGTAAGTTCTGGAAGGAGCTCATGGGACTGTTGGGGACAAAGCTTGCAATGTCTTCAGCATACCACCCCCAGACTGACGGACAGACAGAGCGACTCAATCAAGTGGTTGAACAGTTACTGCGCACAGCTTGCAAGGACGACGTCAGCCACTGGGACACACAGTTACCGACCCTAGAATTCGCTTACAACAACGCATCACATGCGGCCACAGAAAAAACTCCTTTCTTCCTGTGTTACGGACGGGAACCACTCACACCACAGCAGCCAACCACGCCGGCATTCGTCCAAGCCGCACATGACTTCGTCACCACCATGCAGCAGCTATGGGAGAAGACTCAGCGACGTCTCACCACGATGCAGAACTCCCAGAAGCAGTATGCCGATCGTCAGCGACGTGATCACACAGTAGCAGCCGGAGATCAGGTGCTTCTTGACACGCGAAACTTGAACCTGTCTCACCTCCCATCCAAACTCCGGCCTTGCTTCTGTGGTCCTTTTCTCGTTGAGGCACAGGTGACACCAGTTACATTCCGCTTGCGCTTACCAGATACATGGAAGCTTCACAACGCTTTCCATGTCCATCTACTGAAGCCCTACAAGGACCCCAACCAACAGTTCCAGGGACGGCAACTACCGCCACCACCACCCGTTCTCATATAGGATGAACCCGAGTACGAGATCGAGCGCGTTCTCACCCATCGGCGCCGCGGTGGCAAGACCCTCGAGTTCCTGATACGCTGGAAGGGATACGACCCCACTGAGGACAGTTGGGTTGCAGAAGCTGATATGGGCAACGCACGCCGTGCTCTCAAGGACTATCTTGTCTAGCAGGGTGTATCTCACGCCACCCAGCTTTGAGGGGGGGACGTGTGAGAGTACGACGGCTTATGCCAGCTATGCTTGCTTGCCTCTACTTTTATCATGCTATTTCTAGCATAGGATATTTATATGCATGCATGAATTGCTTGATTTCCTAGGCTAGGTGCTTTCCTATATTTTATTATAGTTATAGCACCGAGCTAGGTTGCGTGCACTGAATTCTTACTTTTCGGTTGCCACCAAATTGCCTTTTACCGAATTTGGTAAGGATCTGTTCGGGACGCTTCGCGACCCGCGGAACCTTCGCGTAACACCTGGTTACGGGGCCTAGCGTCGAGCCTATATATAGCCTCGTGTTGTACCCAGGTGATCATTCATTTCAATTTGAATCATCTTTTCTGAGCTCGATCCCAGATCCTCACACTATGGATGCAGAGATGGCTTCCTGGAAGTCTACAGGCACCGACATTGACGCGGTTCCCCCTCCTGGGGCGAACATCGTCAGTGGCATGTGGATCTTCAGGGTGAAGCGGCCGCCGGGCTCTCCACCTGTCTTCAAGGCGCGGTACGTGGCTCGTGGCTTTAGTCAGCGGCAGGGAGTTGACTACTTTCAGACCTTCTCTCCCACCCCGAAGATGACCACTCTTCGGGTGTTGCTACACGTAGCCGCTCAGCGTGACTACGAGCTTCACTCCCTTGACTTCAGCACTGCTTTCCTGTAGGGTAGCCTACACGAGGAGATCTGGTTGCGCCGTCCACCTGGCTTCACTGGGACTTTCCCTCCTGGCACCCAGTGGAGCCTCCGACGGCTAGTCTACGGTCTCCGCCAGGCACCGCGCGAGTGGCACGACACACTGAGGACTACACTTGCGGCTCTTGGGTTTGCTCCCTCTACTGCTGACCCGTCGCTGTTTCTACGCACCGACACCTCTCTGCCGCCGTTCTACATCCTTGTGTACGTCGACGACTTGGTCTTTGCCACAGCTGACATTGCTGGACTCGCCCACGTGAAGTCCGAGCTGCAGAAGAGACACACTTGCACAGACCTGGGTGAACTGCGCAGCTACCTTGGCTTGCAGATCACCCGGGATAGAGCACGCCGCACCATTACCCTGACTCAGTCACACATGGTGCAGCAGGTCCTTCAGCGCTTCGGCTTCACGTACTCCTCGCCTCAGGCCACTCCTCTGCCTACTCGCCATTCGCTCTCAGCTCTACCTTCGGATGAGTCCGTAGAGTCGAGTGGCCCGTACCCAGAGCTTGTTGGCTGCCTCATGTACCTGATGACCCTGACCTTGCATACCCTCTTAGCATTCTCGCACGCTATGTTGCTCCTGGGAGACACAGACCAGAGCACATGGCTGCAGCGAAGAGGGTGTTGCGCTACTTGTGCAGTACGTCGGGCATGGGGCTAGTGCTTGGAGGGCGGAGTCCAGTGGTCCTCACTGGGCACGCGGACGCTTCTTGGGCAGACGACCAGGCTACGCAGCGGTCGTCACAGGGTTACACCTTCAGTCTTGGTTCCGGCTCTGTCTCGTGGCGGGCTACTCGCTCGTCTTCTGTTCTCGGCTCCAGTTGTGAGGCTGAGATCTACGCCGGGGCCATGGCTGCACAGGAGCTTCGATGGCTTACCTACCTACTGACTGACCTTGGAGAGCCGCCTTGTTCTCCTCCGGTGCTGTACGTAGACAACAAGGCCATGCTAGCCTTGTGTCGGGAGCAGCGCCTGGAGCACAGAACGAAGCACATTGCTCTCCGCTACTTTCTTGCTCGTGAGTTGCAGCAGCGTGGTCAGTTGCGACTTGCGTACGTGGCCTCTGAGGCCAACACTGCTGATGTTTTCACCAAGGCACTTCCGCCTTGTGATCATCAGCGCTTCTGCACTCAGCTGGGTCTTGTGCACGTCTTGCCTCACTTGCTCACCCCTTGACCTTGCTTGTACTCTTACATATATATATATATACCAACTCTTGCTTGTTTAGCCTTATATATATATGTGTACTCCTGCGTGTGAACTGGCCTTGTGGCCTTGACCTTGTGCTCGGACTGTGTGGTGACGCTGTGATCCACCCTGAGCTTTGTCTGCTTTGCTTGACTGGTCTTGTGACCCCTTGTTCTCCCCCACTTTGCCTATGGGGGTGTGTCAAATTATAATATTGTGTAGGCTATAGTGGGGTAGCCCATATGGGGTACATATTTCTAGGGTTGCATATTTGTATCACTTCCATTCCTTAGTCATCTCATTCTCGTTCTACTTTTCTCACGTGCTGTCCTGGCGGATGCCATGACCCTTCCGACCCTTCTCCTTCTCCTCCGCCTCCTTCTCCGCCTGCTCCTTCTTCTTCTCCTTCTCCTTCCCCTTTTTCACCGACCTACCGTTGCCGACCGTGGCCTTCTCCTTCCCTTGCTTCGCCGACGTGCCCTCGCCGACCGACTTCTCTTCCTGATTCTGCTCCGCAGCTGAGTTTGCTCGTGTGATCCTCTGCGAGATCGCCCTCCCTGTCCTTGTGTCGGCCTTCCCATTCCGCTTCGCTTTTCGGTCGCCGACAGTCCCACTGGACGTCTTTGGCACCGCTGAAACACCAGGGGGACACGCCGCGGTCCCCACATGCGCCGTGTCTGCGATGGCCAGCGCCGGGGGGGGGGGGGGGGGGGGGGGGGGGGGGCGGCGGGGCGATGTAGCGCTTCCAGCAGGTTATGGATGGCGGCGATGTCGGCGTCGTTGTGGCCTTTCGCCGCCTGTGCAGGGTCACCGCCTCCGCCACCGGTGGCTAGCGCTGCACTCACGCTCTTCTCCGCCGCCGCATCGACAACAGCTGCGGCGGGAGTGGGATCAGCCACGCCTGCCGACGTCTGCTTCGCGCCTGAGCCGGCTGCCGGCCGAGTACGTGTTGGTGCAGCCGCACTACGTGCGCCTAACCGGGCGCGAAGCAATGCGGACTTTGGGTCCGCGGGAGGACGGGCGGCGACCTGAGGCGCGGTAGGTGGGGCGTTGGACGCAGCGGCGGCGACTTGCGGAGCAACCGAGGGACGCGCTGTTTCGAGAGGGGCGGCATCGACCGATGGAGGCTGCTGCACGTCCTTGCGATGGGTCTCCATGCGGTGGAGCAGTTCCCTGAGCGCATCCGGCTTTCTGGCGGCCGAAGCATCGCGCTCGGCCGCAGCGCCCTTCGCGTCGCCCGTGGCGGCAGTCCGGACTGCTGGAGCAGGAGTCGGCGCAATCTCCGGCCCAACTTTGTTGTCGGGCGACTGGCCGACCGGCGCCCTGCTAGCCCCAGGGGGGTCAATGGGAGTCGACGTCGTCCCCGCCACCCCAACTGACGGACCCTTGACGGCTCCGGCGCCGCCATCTCCCGCCGCGTGAGGTGTGGGGGTCTCCTGGTTGGGGACCAAGGGCGGGGCTGTTGGTACAGCGTTTGGAGCGGCGACCCCGTCGGCAGGGCCCCCATCTGCACTGCAGATCCCATCGCCCTTGCGGTGCAACCTTATCACCTCTACCCCTTTTTTCTTGAGCTGGTCGACCACGCTCTGACCTTGAGTCCGCGAGCCGCCAGGACCCACCGCGCCGACGCCGCGGCTCCCATCTCCCCCCTTGCTCCGCTTAGTACTTGCTGAATCGCCCCCGTCTCCCCCTCCGCCTCCGGCACCCCTCTTCCGACCATGTTTCTGAGCATCCTGTCGTTGCGCCTGGCCAGCATCGTTGGCCGACGGCGACGACTCGCGTCGACCAGGCGCCGCATTTCTGATCATCTCGGTCAATGCCTTCATCCCAGACGCAACAAACGACTGCTGTGTCACCTCCGTCACCGCTTTCAGCACGTCGGCCTTGAACGACAAAAGGAACTCTTCTGGTATGGCTTGAGTTGGGGCGAGAGGAGGAGGTGGCGGCGTTGGCAGGACGATGGGGCAAGAAACCGCGGCGGCAATGTTGGTTTGTGCGGCGCCGATGTAGCTGATGATGGTCTCCTCCAGGCCTTTCCACACTGCAGTCTGGTGGTCGACAACACAATTTACCGCTGCTGCGCGTTCGACTGCCATGGTTCCTTGGGGACCACTGATTTCATTCAGCCAGTCCACCACAAATCGCGACACCGACTTCGTAGCGTCGATGGCGTCCGCGATGTTGTCGGTGATCTCGTCGGCGATAGTGGTCGACATGGCCGAAGTGGCGTCTTCGATACGTTTTGCCGCTTTCTGGTCGGTGGCGGCAACCTGTGCGGTCAACGCCGTGAGCTTGTCGAGGAGTCCAGCTACCGCCTTCGCCAAGATGTCGACCCGTCTCGTCTGGTCATTGAGCGACTCCTGCAGGCGTGCGTTGTCGGCCCGCAACCTCGTGTTCTCCGCTCGCAACAGCTCGACTACGTCCACCGGTGCCTGCCGACCGGACGCCGCGGGACCGGGGTGACCACGCGCCGCCTTCTTCTTCCTTCACCACCCCCCCACCGCCTTGGCCTCGGTAGGCCCATCCATTCCCGTCCGCGTCGTTGCCGGCGCGGTATCCCTGCCTACACCGGCCATGACGCCAGCCACATCGCCGACCACGACCTTCTCGCTCCGCCCAGGTGCCGCCCCCACGCAGGCGTCGTCGGCCGCATCCTCATCCGCCGTCCTCCCACCCATTTTCTCCGCTCCGTCGTCGCACTCCACCACCTCTTCCATTATCTCTAGCTCGACCACTTCCTCTTCCTCCCCCTCTTGCTGCTTCTCCGCCTCCCCGTCAACCGCCACCTCCTCCTCATCTTCCTCCTCGTCGTCGTCGTCATCGTCGTCGTCCTCCTCTTCCTCTTCCTCCTTTTCCTCCTCCTCCTCCTCTTCCTCTTCCTCATATTCCTGACCCTCGTCATCCGCCTCCTCTTCCCGATCCTCGTTGTCGTCCTGGTGCTCCTCTGCAGTCCCAGTCACCGCCCTTCCTGCCCCCTCATCCATCATGTCGACGTCGGCTCCTGGCTCTCCTTGTGGAGTCCCCCGCGCATCGTCGTAGGTGTGGGCGACACCTACAGCTTGGGATGCCGAAAGGGGATCGTCGCCGTCGTCGTCACAGTCGTCGGCCGCAATACCGACATGGCCCGCCCGTTTCCTGTCAACTTCCCCCTTGACGAACGTTATCATCTCATTCCGCAGCGCCTTCAACCCCGTAACATTGACCTTGTCCATGCTGGTCTCACGGCGACGGAGGTCGCCGGTCAGACGTTCCAGCCTCCGCACCACCCAGTACAATCCGCTCCTTGCTAGCAGGCCGGAGCCCGCGTGCTCGTCCCGGACGACGTCGGGCACTTTCTGCATACAACAAAGCAGAGAGAACGTGTGAGCTCCGCGTTAGGCAATTCCGTGTGCCAGGGTTTTGAGGAAAGTAGAACGAGAATGATTGACTAAGGAATGGAAGTGATACAAATATGCAACCCTAGAAATGTGTACCCCATATGGGCTACCCCACTATAGCCTACACAATATTATAATTTGACACACCCCCATAGGCAAAGTGGGGGAGAACAAGGGGTCACAAGACCAGTCAAGCAAAGCAGACAAAGCTCAGGGTGGATAACAACGTCACCACACAGTCCGAGCACAAGGTCAAGGCCACAAGGCCAGTTCACATGCAGGAGTACACATATATATACATATAAGGCTAAACAAGCAAGAGCAGGTGTATATATATGTAAGAGTACAAGCAAGGTCAAGGGGTGAGCAAGTGAGGCAAGACATGCACAAGACCCAGCTGAGTGCAGAAGCGCTGATGATCACAAGGCGCAAGTGCCTTGGTGAAAACATCAGCAGTGTTGACCTCAGAGGCCACGTACGCAAGTCGCAACTGACCACGCTGCTTCAACTCACGAGCAAGAAAGTAGCGGAGAGCAATGTGCTTCGTTCTGTGCTCCAGTCTCTGCTCCCGACACAAGGCTAGCATGGCCTTGTTGTCTACGTACAGCACTGGAGGAGAACGAGGCGGCTCTCCGAGGTCAGTCAGCAGGTAGGTGAGCCAGCGAAGCTCCTGTGCAGCCATGGCCCCGGCGTAGATCTCAGCCTCACAACTGGAGCCGAGAACAGAAGACGAGCGAGTAGCCCGCCACGAAACAGAGCCGGAACCAAGACTGAAGGTGTAACCCAAGAAGCGTCCGCTGCGTAGCCTGGTCGTCAGCCCAAGAAGCGTCCGCGTGCCCAGTGAGGACCACTGGACTCCGCCCTCCAAGCACTAGCCCCATGCCCGACGTACTGCACAAGTAGCGCAACACCCTCTTCGCTGCAGCCATGTGCTCCGGTCTGTGTCTCCCAGGAGCAACATAGCGTGCAAGAATGCTAAGAGGGTATGCAAGGTCAGGTCGTATGCAGGTCATCAGGTACATGAGGCAGCCAACAAGCTCTGGGTACGGGCCACTCGACTCTACGGACTCATCCGAAGGCAGAGCTGAGAGCGAGTGGCGAGTAGACAGAGGAGTGGCCTGAGGCGAGGAGTACGTGAAGCCGAAGCGCTGAAGGACCTGCTGCACCATGTGTGACTGAGTCAAGGTAATGGTGCGGCGTGCTCTTTCCCGGGTGATCTGCAAGCCAAGGTAGCTGCGCAGTTCACCCAGGTCTGTGCACGTGTGTCTCTTCTGCAGCTCGGACTTCACGGGGGCGAGTCCAGCAGTGTCAGCTGTGGCAAAGACCAAGTCGTCGACGTACACGAAGATGTAGAACGGCGGCAGAGAGGTGTCGGTGCGCAGAAACAACGACGGGTCAGCAGTAGAGGGAGCAAACCCAAGAGCTGCAAGCGTAGTCCTTAGTGTATCGTGCCACTCACGCGGTGCTTGGCGGAGACCGTAGACTGGCCGTCGGAGGCTCCACTGGGTGCCACGAGGGAAAGTCCCAGTGAAGCCAGGTGGACGGCGCAGCCAGATCTCCTCGTGCAGGCTACCCTACAGGAAAGCAGTGCTGAAGTCAAGGGAGTGAAGCTCGTAGTCACGCTGAGCGGCTATGTGTAGCAGCACCCGAAGAGTGGTCATCTTCGGGGTGGGAGAGAAGGTCTGAATGTAGTCAACTCCCTGCCGCTGACTGAAGCCATGAGCCACGTACCGCGCCTTGAAGACAGGTGGAGAGCCCGGCGGCCGCTTCACCCTGAAGATCCACATGCCACTGACGATGTTCGCCCCAGGAGGAGGAACCGCGTCAACGTAGGTGCCTGTGGACTTCCAGGAAGCCATCTCTGCATCCATAGCTGCTTGCCACTGAGAGGAGTAGGGACCCTCTACGGCCTCCGCGTAAGAGCGCGGAGTCGGGATGTCTAGTGCATCCGGGTCTCCCTCAGGGGTAAGCAGTACAGACGCGAGATGAGGTGAAGCAGCTGCCAGACACTGGAACTCCTCCTGCTTGTCCTCAAGGACGTCCGTGCCAAGAGCACACTCACCCCCAACGGACGGAGGACAGACAGACGCAGACTCAGCAACAAGACTAGCAGCGTAGTCTAGACGACAGCGAGCAGCAAAGTCAACGAGCTCAGCAACAAGAGCAGACGCAGCAGTGGACTCAAAAGAGGGGTCAGTGACGACAGTAGCAAGGAGACGCGTGACGGTAGGAGTGGCAGCACGAAGAGAGTCCGACTCCGGGTCGGCAAGCGCAGGAAGAGAGGACTCAGGAGGAGAAGGCAAAGGGACACGCAGAGGAGCAGTGGACGGACGCAGAGACATCCGGTGCGTGCCAGGGACAGGAGGAGGACGCTGACGCGAACCGCTACCACTAGCGCGAGCAGCACGAACAGGCGACGCGGGACGAGACGCAGGCTCACGACGCTCAGCAAGACCTCCAGTAGGACTAGTTTAAGGAGAGGGAGCAGGCCGTGGGGAGGCGGGCGGTAACTGTGACTGTGACTGGACAGGCGGTGGACACTCTACAGGAGGAGAAGGACCAAGAACCTGCTGAAGGAGCGGAACAAAGTACGGCCGAGGCCGCGCGGTGACTCCAGACACAGCAGGGACAGCAGCAGCACCCTCAGCGGCCGCACCAGCGCCAACAGCACCTCCAGCTGCAGGACCTCCAGCAGTACCAGTAGCACCCGCAGCAGGACCACCGCCAGGACTGACAGCAGTAGCCTCAGCGCCAACACCTTCAGCAGCTCCAGCTCCAGTCGTACCCGCAGGCCCAGCAGCTCCAGCACTCCCAGGACGAGTACCTCAGGGACCGGCGGCACTAGTACCCTCAGCGGCCGAAGAAGCTCCAGCTCCAGCAGTACGCCTCCTGCGCCGTGCAAACCACTCGCGCAGCTCGTGTGGGGAGAGTGGCTCCCGCCGAGACGAAGCACCCGGAGAACCTCTAGGCCCAGCACCGTCAGACGCCACACGAGCAGGTCCAGCGGCCGCTGGCTCCGCACCACCAGGCTCAGTAGCTCCAGACGCAGCACCCCCAGGCTCAGCAGCTCCTGACGTAGCACCCCCAGGCTCAGCACCCCCAGGCTCAGCACCCCCAGTCGTAGCACCCCCGGGCTCAGCACCCCTAGTCGCAGTACCCCCAGGCTCATCACCCCCAGTCGTAGCACCCCCAGGCTCAGCACCCCCAGTCGCAGCACCCCCAGACTCAGCACCCCCAGGCTCAGCACCCATGCGCGCAGCACCCCAAGAGTCAACACCCCCAGGCTCAGCACCCGCAGTAGTACCAGAGTCACCAACAACCTCGACCGGCTCGACTGCGTCTACCTGGGACACACCTGAAGGGGTAGGACCCTGAGGGGGGAGGGGGTCTACCGGGGGGGGGACCTGGTACAAGGAAGTGCGGTGGCGGGGGGAGGGAAGGAGTGCGGTAGGGGAAGAGGCGGTAGTAGGGGACTGACTCGTCGAACGTGACGTCCTGGGAGGACAGAACACGACGAGAGGTGGGGTGGTAGAACTGCCACCCAGGGGCGTCAGGGGGGAAGCCAAGGAAGACACAGGGAGCAGCACGAGGGGACAGCTTGTCCGCAGACAAGTCGCGGACAAAACTCACGAGATCCCCAGACACGGAACGCAGACGCATCGCCGACCTTCTCCGTCCACAGCAAGGCTGGGGAGGTCTCCGGCCTGGAGACCCTGGGGTGAAGGTTGATCTGATGCGCCGCGTACCGAACCGCAAACGGCCACAGAAAATGGGGGGCAGCCGCATGCATCATGGACGTGCGAGCGACGTCCATGACCATACCAATGCGGCGCTCAGCAATCCCATTTTGCTGTGGAGAGTCTGGAAGCGTGAAGGTCTGGCGGATGCCTCGCGCACGACAGTAGGCCATGGGACGCAATTTCGCAATTTCGCAATGCCTCGCGCACGACACATGCAAGTCGATGTCACGTCCCCTGGCCTCGGTCAGCCATGGGACGCAATTTCGCATGCGCCGCGAAGCGATTGGAATCGATTTCGCTACGCCCGAAATACCGCATGCGCCCTTTGCGAAACGGTGGGCGAACACGTGTCGTCACCGCACCGGGTCGCGAAGTTGTCGAGTGTCCCGAGGGGGGGGCCGAATTTTCGCCAGGCCCTCGCCTGCCCGTCCGGGCAGGCCGCGATGGGTTACTAGGACGTCGCGGGCAGGTGGCACGGTTGGGCTGCCTCCGCGCGAGGGTTACTTTCCCTCGTGCGAGGGGTCGCCAGTTCGCCGACTCCACCCGGTAACGTGGGCCACTGTTCACTCTCGGAGCGGGGCTACGGGGCGGCGGTCGTTCGCTCGGCCCAGCCCTGGGCCAGGCTGGCGGGCCCGCATGCGCGTCAGTCTCCCGCCTCGTCATTCTCGGCTCCGACGACCCCCCTCGACGACACAGGCAAACCCGTCTCGACGACCTAGTTCCGATGAGCCTTTCGGTGAAGAAGACCCACAGTCGACTGTACAGTGTGCAGTACAGTACACATCTTCACCGAAGAACGGCATCAACAGCAATAGCACACCACACTGTTTCCAAACCTCATGACAGACCAAGCTGACGCTCTGTTACCAGCCAGCTCTCACAAAACCCTATTCCCAGACCACCTCCAGAGACTCGCACCGCAGGTCCGCAGCACCAGGCTCAGACGGCACCCAGACACACACCGTCAGGTTTCCTTGCTTGAAAAAAAAGGCGGTCATGGTTTTTCGTCGAGGGTTCGTTTAACGCGATTCATTACGGTCGCCCACGTTTGGGAACGGTTTAGAATTCGTACCGCTTTCAACCATTGTGCACCATAATGAACCTTTCAAGTCGCTATAGACAAAAAATATGAACCACGCCTAAACCAAGAAGATGCAGCACACCACCACAACAAGCAGATGAATCAGGGAACTCAAACGAAGAGGCAGACCTTTGCTTATGTGATGTTGTAACTTGTTCACTCTCGCCTTTCAGGCTAGCAACCTTGAGCAGCTGCAGCTCACAAGATCAGTCAGCGTGTCAGCGCGGCGCGTCCTTTGTGACAGCACCTTCCGTCTTTCGGTGACCAAGGACATATCCTGCCAGATACCGTATCACTAGTACTTCGTTTCTCTAGTCCCGGAATCTCGCGAACGCTTCCCCCGTCGTTCGTTCCACGGTGTTAGTACAGCCTCCGAGGCCTGACGCCATCCTATGCAGCCCGAAGCGTCTTTTGGCTCTTGAATCAGTTCCGAGGCGTCTCGGTAGCCAATTACGCAATCGAAGGTGGAAGCAGCTGATCCTCTTACCCGAGATAAGCATCAGCACTCGAGCCTCGGAGACCACCCATCATGTAGTCGTGGTCCGAGCGGAATGTGTGGCAATGCCATGGCCCCCCCACGGCTGCAACCGATGGCGTCGAAACCGGGAAATACCAGCCTTTCGCCCGTAACCCCTCGCGAGCTGCCGTTCACCGGTCGTCACAGTCAGCATACCTCGCCGTTACTTCTACCGTCGCCGCTCGAACCACCCTCGCCAGCGCGGCCAACGCTGTCGCTGTCGCTGTCGCCGACACCGCCTGCAGGAGTGAGTCACTGCCACCGTAGCAGCACGCGTTTTGTATTAGGATCTACCGTTGGATCTACCGTTTTAAACGTTTGCGAGGACGGACGTTACTGACGTTACTGAGCTCCGCGCCGAGTCGTGGTTGATCCCCGCCTCTTTGCCTTGATGAGTTGGAAAGAGCTAGAATGCGGGGTGTTACGCACAAGCTCTATCGTGACAGGGAGTGGCGACGGAATGCTCTACTGTCCCTATTCGCTTGATTCGACTCTTGCTACAACCGGTAGCAGTTAGGGGATTCATTAGTAGCTTAGTTAGTCCTGCAGTGACGCGAAAGCGCCTCAATTACCACGGTTTCTAAGGCAGCGAAGCGAATGCGACAGCTATTGTGACTGCAACTGCGGATGCGAGTGCGAGTGCGAGTGCGAGTGCGAGTGCGAGTGCGAGTGCGAGTGCGAGTGCGAATGCGAGTGCGAGTGCGAGTGCGGGTGCGAGTGCGATTGCGATTGCGATTGCGACTGCGACTGCGACTGCGACTGCGAATGCGGATGCGGCTGCGATTGCAAATGCGCGCGCAAAAAGCGTACAGTTGTAGGCACCTCGCACACAATTCAATGTCTCTGTCCGCCTCAGCGTTAGCCGCCTGCTTCCGCCATGCCGCGCCGTTCTTTGCGGTTCGTGGGCATTCCATGTCTCTCCATCACCCACACCACATTCGCTTCTCACCCATTTCCGCACCTCACCCATCCCCTCACCTCACCCACACCGCACCTCACTCATTCCCGCACCTTTTTCTCATCCGGAATTCTTGAGAGCTCCGCACGTTGTGTCCGTAACGCCGTATCGGCCACACTCAATAATCACAATCTGGCGGAGTCGCATTAACTCCCCGACCGCCTCTCTCCCCCCTCCCCTCTCCCCCCACTGCCCCCCTCCGCCTCCCACCCCCCTCCATCTCACTCTCTGCTCTGCCCTGACCCCCCTGTACTTCTCCCCTCCCCTGTCCCCTGACACACATGAACTCTCCCTTGGGGGACAGGGCGTGGGAAGCCGGGGCACAGAGGGAGAGGCAGCAGAGACTATTCTCGGCATGGGTGGAGAGGGGCGAGCAGAGGTCGCAAGCGGTGGCGGCAGAAAGGGGAGAGCGCGTTTAGGGTGTCCTGGTGGCAGTGGTGGCGGTATGGGCACCAGCAGCACTGGTCTCAGTGCTAGTGTTTCCAGCGGCGGCAACTGTAGCCGTCGTGTTATTAGCAGCCGCGTTAGGAGGAGCAGGTGTAGGAGCACGTGTTTTAGTATTGAATGTGCTGGTAGTGGATGTGCTAGTAGAGGAAGCAGCGAGGCTTGTAGCAGTAGTAGCAGTGGGAGCACAGTTGGTAGCAGTGGCAGCATCAACGGTGGCACGCTTTCGTCCATCGCGCCTATGTCTGCACACAGCCCCGCTGCTGCTGCTGCTGCTGCTGCTGCTTCTTTGATAGTTTGCAGCAGTACCGAAGCAACTCGTAGCAAGCGAGCGCTAGAGCCCGCACATCCCCTTAGAAGAAACGGCAGGCGTGGCTCGTCCTCTGCGTTGGCTCATCAGCAGGCGCCACAGACCGCGTTCAAGTCACACCATAAGGAGACCGGGGAGAGCAACTCTGGGGGGATGGAGAGGGGTGGTGAGCGGTTCAGGGGACGACGGCTGCAGGCTGGACGAGCATGGCGGGGGAGGGTTCGAGCAAGGGGGTTGGCGCACTGCTCTCTGCTCTCGTGGCATGTGTGGGCGGCTGTGTTTTCTGTGGCTGCTCTTCTCAGCAGCAGCAGCAGCGGTGGCGTGCTCTTTCGCCCCTTGGTTGCAGCGGCTAGCAAGGCCCCCTTGGATAGTCAAAGTACGTGCCAGCACCCTACTCCTACTCAAATCCTCATCATCCTGCTCCTCCTCCTTGTCCTCCCCCTACCTACGGCGTTCCGTCCCATGCCTAGTCTATTCCCTTCTTCCCCTGCGAGTGCATTGCTTTCCCTGTCCCAGCAGCACTCCTCCTCTCTCTCAGCTCCTCTCCAATGTTGCCCCCTCTCCTCCTGCAAGCCACGTCCATACCTCTCCCACTATACCCCACCGTTCTGCCCTCTCCCCCCTTCCCAACCCCCCCGTGCTTCTCACCTCCCTCTTTTAGGTTCCAGTCCCCCACTTCTGCCCGACGTCTGTCCCTGCCTCTCCCGACCCGACGTCTCCTCTCACCTCTCCACTCCCCTTCCCCACCTTCCCCCGACACGCGCCCCCCCCCCCCGTACTCCCTCCACCGTCCTCTCCCACACCCCACCAGCGCAAGTGCTGCAGCAGCTGAAGGCGGAGTGGGGGCCCGCGTTCCCAGCAGCAGCGTCGTGGACGTCAGGAGCGGCGTGCGATGCGCTGGTGGGCGTGCTGTGCGACGAGCACGACGACTTCATCCAGAGCCTGTCAGCTAACTGCCTGCCTTCCCCCGCTGCCTTCCTACCTGCCTGCCTCCCCCCCCTGCCTGCCTGCCTCCCTGCCTGCCTCCTTGCTTGCCTCTCTGCCTCTCGCCCTACCTACCTGCCTCCCCCTCTGCCTGCCTCTCCTCCTGCCTCTCTCCCTGCCTGCCTCTCTACCCCCGCTGCCTTCCTTTTTGCCTGCCTGCCTCCCTGCCTCCCTTCCTGCCTGCCTGCCTGCCTCCTAGGAACGCCTCCCTGCAGCTTCTCATTTTTTCGCTCATCTTCCTTTCACTCTTCCCGCAGTCCCAGTGTCTCCGTAACCTCTGTTGAAAAATGTCTCAGAGACAGCCTTAATGTGTCCGCCAGCGCTCTTCCCACGTCGCTCATCCCTTGTCTTCACGGTGGCGGGTGGGTGCTGCAGGGTGTTGGATTCGCAGAACCTCACAGGGTTTATCCCAGGGGCCATCACAGGGCTCATCGGCCTCAAAGTGCTGTGAGTGCCAGTAGCAGCTGGGCAGTGCTGCGAGTGCTGTAGTGTGGTGGGGTGAGGAGGAGACGGAGAATGCTGATTGGTGCGTCATCGGGTGATGTTTGTGCTGTGCATAGTAGTGCTGTGCCGTGCTGGTAATATGTAACATGTACAAAAACATATTGTACAGTCGCAAATTGATTCTCACATGCTTGTGCATGCCTGTGTGTGTGTGTGTGTGTGTGTGCGTGCATCTGTGTGCATTTGCGTGCGTGCATTTGTGTGTTTATATGTGTGTGTGCCTGAGTGTGCATGCGTGCACGAGTGTGCGTATCTGTGTGCATGTGTGTGTGTGCGTGTGCATGCATGTGTGTGTGTGTGTGTATGTATGTGTGTGTGTGTGTGTGTGTGTGTGTGTGCATTTGTGTGTGTGCATGTGTGTGCGTGTGCATGCGTGCTTGTGTGCGCGCGCGCGTGTGTGTGTGTGAATATGTGTGTGTGCGTGCATGTGTGCGTGTGTGCGTGTGTGCATGTGTGCGTGCATGCATGTGTATGTGCGTGCGTGCGTGCATGTGTATGTGCGTGCGTGCATGTGTTCATGAGTGCGTGTATGATTGCGTGCGTGCGTGCATGCGTGCCTGTGTGTGTGCGTGCGTGCATGCTTGTGTGCGTGAGCTTGTGCGTGCATGTATGGGTGCATGTGTGCGTGCATGTGTGCGTGCTTGCGTGTGTGTATCCTGTGGTCTCAACAGATCCCTCAGAGACAACCAGCTCAACGGTGACTTGCCATTCTTCCTCAACACCCTCGGATCTCTCACAGAATTGTACGCTCAAATCCTGCCCCACTTGTTCCTCCCTCCCCACCTCTACACTTCTCCACTTCTCCCCTTCTCCCCAACCCCCTTAGCACCCCTCTCTTGCTCCCACCAGTACCTATTCTGCACCACTCTCTGCTCTCTGCATCTGATTATCTCCACGAGCAGAGTCTCTCCACTAGCCATCCGTGCCGGTGATGGTCGTAAGGCCATTCATAACCTATAAGCCACCAACGCGCACGCACAATCATCAGCACCAATTACCTGGAGCCCTTTACCCTCCTCAAGCTCACCCCGCTGTTTGTTTCTCCTCCGGCGGTGCTTGTCGCTTCGCTTCTCTCGCTTGCTCGCAGGGATCTAGGGAGCAACGAGTTAAAGGGTGCCATACCTCCTGCACTGTCCGTTCTCACCAGGCTACAGAAGCTGTAAGCTCAACAACCATGCCATGCCATACAATGCCATGCCATGCAATGCCATGCCATTCAATGTCATGCTATGTGATGCCATACCATGCCATGCGATGCTATTCCAGGCAACGCCACGCCACGCCATGCCACGTCACGCCATGCCACACCATGCCATGCCATGCCACACCATGCCATGCCATGCCATGCCATATCATGCCTCTCCATGGAGAATCGGTGACATACCACTCCTTCCATGCGCTGCATTCCCATCGGACCATGTGCACTGTGCCTGTCTCGCTTCGTATACCTCTGTCCCATCCATCCCATCCATCCCATCCATCCCATATTGTGCAGGCATATCGGGGGCAACGAATTAGACGGGTCGATACCACCAGATTTGAGCAGACTCACTGGCCTTACCAGCCTGTGAGCCACGGCACTCCTCCAGCACTTCGTGCCTTCCTATCCCTCCCTCCCTCTGTCCCTCTCTCCCCCTTCCCTCCCTCTGTCCCTCTCTCCCCCTTCCCTCCCTCTGTCCCTCTCTCCCCCTTCCCTCCCTCTGTTTCTCTCTCCCCCTTCCCTCCCTCTCTCCTTCCCTCTCGCCCTTCCTCCCCTCATGCACACCTGCCGTCCTCTCCTCTCTCATTGTCACACGCTCCAACAAGAACCCTCTCGCTGCATCCTTGCCTCCATCTCTCACCCTGCAACACGAAGCACATTGCATTGCATCGATTCTGAGTCCAGGAAAGATCACCTCGGTGTCGTATCTTTCCCGCTCCACCTCAGTGCTCGGAGCATGAGCTGAGCTCCCATTTTTTCCCAGTTGTTTGTCAAGCTGGAGCCAGACGGAATCAGAATTCGCTTTGTGCATGCATGCGTACGTGTGTGACGTATCTCCTCCTCGTGTCTGGCTCGTGCCTTCTAAACCCTTCTTACCCTCTTGCCTTGATGCCTCCGTGACTTGATGGTGGCTCCGTGGCTTTATTCATGGCAGGGACATGAGTGGCAACCAGCTCGCTGGACCCATACCTCCGGAGTTCTCCGCCCTGACTGCGCTTCAAGACCTGTAGGCACCACACCACACCACACCACACCGCCCTATTCTCTCCATCCGTGTTTCCTCAAAGCGGTACATACATATGAGCATGCCGCTGGCACGTGTTGTCATCACGGAGCAAGTAGTTGCACTCATCACAGACAGCAGCTGGTGTTTACTACCACCCGCTTCCTTTCTCCCTCCCCCTCGTTCGCCCCTTCTTTTCCCCCATCCCCTCTTCCCCCCCTTCCCCCTTCTCCCCTTTTCGACCCTCCCCCCTTATCCTGTCCCCTTAAATGGCTGCCTCGCTTTTATTATCCACTCCATAGCTTAGTTAGTGGGATTGAAATATAGTTAATGGCATTATGGCGCATGTTCAGTTAATTTCACACGGCGCAAGCAAGTGTTCTATGTGAAGGTGCAGCAACGCAGCAATCACACATGCTCTTCACCTGACCACATAGAACACTTGCTTGCGTCGCTTTGGGGCTCAGGTGAAGCGACACATGCTCTTCACCTGACCACCTCACTTCACCTAAGCCCCTCACCTCACTCACTCCCACTTTCACCCCCTCCCATTCCACACACCATCTCCTCGCGTTTTTCGCGCCCTCCCCCTCACATTTCTGTCCCCTCACATTCTCGTGCCCCATCACCCCCTCACACCCTCACTCCCTCACACCTTCACGCCCGGACACCTCACACACACCTTCACTCCCTCATCGCCTCACATCCTCACTCCATCACCCCCCATCGCCCCCATCAGGCAGCTGCAGGGCAACCGGCTGACAGGCAGCTTGCCTGTGGGGCTCAGCGAGCTCGTCTTGCTATCCTCGCTGTCAGTGCCCCCTGCCTTGCCTTGCCACTGCCCTTAGAGTTGATTCACGTGTGTGGGTGGGGTGCGGTGCGGTGCATGTGAAGGTTGCTTGCATGTGAAGGGTGCATGTGAAGGGGTGTGTGTGTGTGTGTGTGTGTGTGTGTGTGTGTGTGTGTGGTGTGTGTGTGTGTGGATATGGCTTTGACAGGTCAAGTCGGGTCGCGGGTCGACCTGACCCGACGGGTCGGTAATAGCCGTACGGGGCACGACGACCTAGCCGCTCAAGAAACAAAAATCCCGGTCTCAGATCAACCTGGTCCGAGCCCTACGGGCCTACCCGAGACCCTGGGCCAGGGTCTTCGCACCTGTGTATGACCCATGGGGTTTGTCTCGTTTTCCTTGAAAGAAAAACACGAGTTGATGGATGGAAGTAGGGCCTCCGCAGCCCATCTGTCTGCTATTGACCGAACCCGATCCGAGCCCTACGGGCCTACCCGAGACCCTGGGTCAGAGTCTTCGCACCGCACCGCACCTGTGACCTGACCGGCCCAAAAGCCTGGTCGGGTCGTTGTTTGGTGATGTCTTGGCTCTCCTCCTCCTATGGCCCACTCCGTTCCCCTCTCCTGCTCATCCTCTCTTCAACTCCACCTCGCTAGCACTCCCACTACCTTCATGCACCACACTCCTCATCCCACCCCACTCCACTCCATCCCACTCCACCCCACTCCACCCCCAGCGCGGTGTCCAATAACCTGCTGTCCAGCTCACTTCCTATGGAGTACGTCGCGCTGACTAGCCTGCAGATCCTGTGAGTGGCCCGCCATTCCTGTGGTTGAGGTGGCTGGCGCACAAGCATGTCTTGTGGTTGTGCGGCCCGGCCGCTGATGCTCACTTCACTGCCTGGCACACGCACACCCTCTCGTCTCGTCTCGTCTCGTCTCGTCTCGTCTCGTCTCGTCTCGTCTCGTCTCGTCTGTCTGTCACCTCGCCTCTTGTTCGGCAGACTTACTCAGTAATAGAGAATCTCTCGTCTCCTGCAACACCAATCGCTCATTCATTCATTCCCGCTTGCCGTTCGCAGCCCTCCGTCGGAATACTTGCATACCCGTAGTCTGCTGGAGCAGACATACTCACTCAAACTTGGTTGGCAAATGATTCCGGCTAAGCTCCCAACTAGCCTCCCCTTCTTTTCAAAACGTCACATTCGTCCTTTGCATCTTTTGGTCCATCCGTCTCTCAGTTTCGGATCAGATCGGATCAGAGCGGATCTCTCATCCCTGCAAAGAAAGGATTCTATTCTAGGACCACCTCTGTGCCTGCCTGCCACAACCAGCCCTCCCACCAACTCACCTGTCAAGAATGTGTCTGTGGTGAACTGTACTGCTCCTCCTGTCATGTGTGTGCGGTGCGGTGCGGTGCTGGTCGTCCAGATCGCTTGACAGCAACCGCTTCTCAGGCCCTCTATCCGACTCGTGGACTCAGCTCACGGTGCTTCAAGAACTGTGAGCAACAGCAGCTGGGTCTTATTGTTTTTGTTCTGTTCTTGTTGCTCAAACAGTCCTTTCCTTGTTTCATGCTTGCTTCCCTGTCCAAACATGTTTCTTGAGAGAGAGAAAAAAAAACATCAAACCATCTATTGCCATTCCCCTTATTCTCTCTTCCCTTGTCTGATCTTTTCAACGGCCCCTCTTCCTGTTCCCCCCGTTTTCTCCTTCCCCCCACCTGCCCTGCCCCATTTGCATGCCGGCGTGTATGCACCGTTCGTGCAATGCCCTTCTCCTTGTCTCAGCCGTGCGTCGCGCAACCAACTGACTGGCGTTATCCCAATCTCGTGGGTGGGATTCGTTGCTATGCGCATCCTGTATGTACCGCACCCCACTCGCAATATTCAGGTGGTCTTTGAGGATTCCGAAAAATCCCACTGGCACAATATTCATTGGTGAAAGAAAGTGCACACCTCAATTCAAGCCATTCCTTCCTCCTCCCGTCACGCCACCTCCCCGCATCCACGACCTTGATAGACAATACACCCGACAGACAGACAGACAGACAGTGGAATTTCGGCACAATGTGCTGACGTGGCAGTGCTGCTTCTGCTGCCGCTGCCGCCACCGCTGCTTTATGTCGGCGTTGCATTAGGTCCAATATGCTGCTGACGTGGCGCTGCTGCTTTAGGTCCTGTCCAGGGACCGGTTCCACAACAACACAGCACACAGCTTGGCAGCATCTCTTCTCTGATTCGTTTTTTGAGTCGACTCAAAAGTCATCTCAAGACTTGAAAGCTCGCCTCGCCTCGCCCCTCCTGCGTGCGTGTGCGTGCATTGCAGGGACCTGTCGTACAACGCACTGTTTGGCAGCATCCCTGATGTGCCATCTACTTCGATGCTCACACATTTGTGAGTCAACTCCCTCAGTTCTCACCCCTCTTCCTGCTCCTCCCACTGTTTTCCGATCCAACTGCTTTCCCTGTCCCTGTCCCTGTCCCTGTCCCTCTCCCTGTCTCTATCTCGGTCCCTCCCTGTGCTTGTCTCTGTCTCTGTCCGTGTCCCTGTGTCTGCATCTGTGTCGCTCCCTGTCCCCATCTCATGCTCTGCTGCTGCCACTCCCCCTGCCACTGTAACCGGGACCCGCCGCTGCTGTTTCTGTCATCACTCTGCTGTCATCAATCACTGCTGTACTGTTAGTCTGACGCGTCTGTTACTAATCAACAGCGTCTGCTGCCTTTTGCGTTGCTGTTCCACTCTTGCTGCTGGCAGTGCTGTTGCTGCACCATTAACCATTGCTGCTGCTGCTGTTGTTGCAGCTCATACTTATGCTCCTGATTCTGTTGATGCTTCTGCTGCTGCCTTATAATCTGCTGCTGCGTTGTACTTCCTCTTGCAGGCAATACATTCTCATGCCCCTTGTTCTCTTTCCTTGTTTTCCCACCTTCTGCCACCTGTGCCTGTGCTCGCTGTGCTGTGCTGTGCTTGTGGTGTGCTTGTGGTGTGCTTGTGGTGTGCTTGTGGTGTGCTTGTGGTGTGCTTGTGGTGTGCTTGTGGTGTGCTGTGCTTGTGCTGTGCTTGTGGTGTGCTTGTGCTGTGCTGTGCTTGCGCTGTGCTGCGCTGTGCTGCGCTGTGCTGTGCTGTGCTGTGCTGTGCTGTGCGGTGCTGTGCGGTGCTGAGCTGTGTGTGCTGCCATGTGTGCACCATCAGTCTGCTGAACGACAACCAGTTCACAGCAAACTTCCCCGAAATCAACGCGGCTAAGATTGTCACCATGTCAGTCACACATGCTCCTGGCCACTCTTCAGTATTCACTCATTCACTCAGTGACTCACGCACTTACCCAATCAGTCACTCGTTCACGCAGTCACTCACTCAGTCAGCCTTTTCACCCAGTCTCTCGCCCTACGTCCATTCTTCGTCTTAGACTTTCTGTAGCACCCTCAAGTCTCCCTGCTGTTTCAATGCTCCATTCCATCGTCCCATAGTGTATCTTTGTCTCTTCCCCAGTCTCTTTCCGCACAACATTCCCCCATTGTGTGCCATTAACCCCCCTCCTCCTCCCTTCAAAGACCCTCTCTTTTCTCGCATTATCCCCTCTTTCTCGCCACCCTGCTCATGAATTGCCCCCTCTCTGGCCCAACTGGCCCTTCGTATCGAGAATTCAAGTCGAAAATTCAAGAAAGCAAGGTCATATTCAGGCAATGTCCAAGCCTGTTGCTCCTCCCAACGAATCCCCAACGATTCCCCAACGAAACCCCAATGAAACCCCAACGAAACCCCAACGAAACCCCAACGAAACCCCAACGAAACCCCACATCTTGCAGATCCCTGGCGAACAACCTCATAGGTGGCGGCTTTCCTGCATCCTATTCCAGCCTTTTCAGCCTCCAGAACCTGTGCGTTCTCTGCCTCACCTACCTTGCCTTGCCTTGCCTCGCCTCCCCTTGCCTTGCCTTGCCTTGCCTCGCCTTGCCTTGCCTTGCCTCGCCTTGTCTTGCCTCGCCCTGCCTTGCCTTGCCTTGCCTCGCCTTGCCTTGCCTTGCCTTGCCTCGCCTTGCCTTGCCTTGCCTTGCCTTGCCTTTGATAGAAACGAAGCTCAACTGATTGATTAGTAAAGAAGGCACTAGGCCTTAAGTACAATGAGGTTGGGTTGGGAAAGGCTAGGGAAAGGATGGGATGGGAATCCTAGCAAATCTCCAATTGGTGAGTTGGCAGATTTGCAGGATTACGAGGGAATCCCAACCAGATAGGGTTGGGATTACAAACTACACCCAACCCGCAAATAACCTATGCGATATAAAATATAGTACAAAATGTTGACAGCCTAATTCTTACAGCCTTGCCTCGCCTTGCCTTGCCTTGCCTTGCCTTGCCTCGCCTCGCCTTGCCTTGCCTTGCCTCGCCTCGCCTTGCCTTGCCTTGCCTTGCCTTGCCTCGCCTTGCCTTGCCTTGCCTCGCCTCGCCTTGCCTTGCCTTGCCTTGCCTTGCCTCGCCTTGCCTCGCCTCGCCTCGCCTCGCCTGGCTTTGCCTTGCCTTGCCTCGCCTTGCCTTGCCTTGCCTTGCCTCGCCTGGCCTGGCCTTGCCTTGCCTTGCCTTGCCTTGCCTGGCCTCGCCTTGCCTCGCCTCGCCTCGCCTTGCCTTGCCTTGCCTTGCCTTGCCTTGCCTTGCCTCGCCTTGCCTCGCCTCGCCTCGCCTCGCCTTGCCTTGCCTTGCCTTGCCTCGCCTCGCCTTGCCTTGCCTTGCCTTGGCCCGAGGCGGCTCAGAAGTTGCCAGCCCTTCCACCCTTGCGCACCTGTGGGTGGGGGGTATTCGCATTCCTTGGCTTCGCCCCTGTTCTTTCACTGCACCTTTCCGTTCTATGGCGCTTGTTGAAATAGGAAGGTTGTGCGGATAGCTCGCTGCGTTTTAGTCTGTGTATGTAGTGTAGTATGGGGGTTTGTAGCATTGTGTAGTGGTAGCAGACGGTATACAAGGAAACAATGGCACAACATGATGGCAAGCAAGTGTGGGCTTGTGATTTGATGCGGGGAAGGGAAGGGAAGGTGTGTCGAGTCGAATCCCGGTGGGCTGTTGGGCGCTGCACGTGCGTAAGCATGGAAACACAGAAGACTGCAACACTGTGAAGTGAAGTGAAGTCAACAACTCTGTAACGGGGCCCCGCTCGCTCGTTTGAAGTGAACCGGCTCGCTGGCTCTCGCTCATTTGTTTGGTCTCATCCGCAACAGATCTGCTGCCTTTTGTCTCCCCTCCCCTCTCTGTGTTTCTTTGCCTCTCTCGAACAGTCCCTTTGTATCGATAAATTTCAAGTACAAGCACGTATTCCTACACCTCCATTGGGACTTCAATCAAAACAACCCTTTTTCCTGTTGCTCCATCCCTGCACCGCCTTTCCCTGCTTGCTTGCTTGCATGCATAACAGCAACATCAGTTACACCAAAATGCCAGACTCTGAGATCCCACCTCTAACTGGATTCGCCTCACTCAGAGTGCTGTACGTGGCCCGCTCTCCTTCTCGTGCCCTGCTCTCCTTCTCGTGCCCTGCTCTCCTTCTCGTGCCCCCTGCTCTGCTTCTCGTGCCCTGCTCTCCTTCTCGTGCCCCCTGCTCTCCTTCTCGTGCCCCCTGCTCTCCTTCTCGTGCCCTGCTCTCCTTGTCGTGCCCCCCCTCTTGTTGTGGCACCAGGTGTGGTTGGAAACCAGGGTTGGTTTAAAGCTCCCATTTCTTAGACTTTTTTTAGTCGACTAAGAATTCACCGGGTGTGGTTGGAGAGAGACTGGTGTTGAGAGAAGCTCCCACTCTCTAGGAGGTTCATTCTAGTGCCACTCACTCTTGTGTGCTTCTCTGTGCATGCATCTGCGCTTGCACCCTTTTCATCCTGTGCTGAGGCTTGTTAAGGGCGATTGTCACTCTCACACACAATCAGCTGCCCATCTTCTGAACGGTTGTGTTTATTGCTCTTCCTAGTATCTCATGTTAAGTTTCACAGCTAGTGAGGTGAGGTGAGGTATTATCTTCAGATCCAAATTCTGCTGGAGTGGAGGTTTTGCGCAGTGCAACCTGCCGTGACAGCAGCGGTGAGGCAGTATCAAACTCTGGCACCAAAACTCGTTCCACCTCCCTCTCTCTTTCTCGAATGGCCCTTTCATTGATTAACATAGGACGTACAGGCATGCAAGGTGGGAACTATTGTGAGTCTGGCACATAAAGCCTCTTACTACTCCCCTCTCTCTCTCTCTCTCTCTTTCTCTCTCTCTCTGCTCTGCCAGAGACATGTCAGGGAACCGGATGAGTACTGTCTTCCCTTTATTACCGCCATCACTGCTCTACCTGTAAGTACCTCGTTCTCTCGTGGCGTTTCTCACTTGGCCCTTCATGTCAACGAGCACGGAGCAGCAACATCAACCAGCATTCACGGAGCAGCAACATCAACCAGCATTCACGCAGAGAGGGTAGGTAGGCAGGAACACGTTCCAGGCTTCTCAAGATAGGGTGGGCAGGAACATGCATGCTAACAAGTCAACCTGCAGCTCCACAGTCCCAGCTAGCAAGCTAGCTACCCCCCCACTTGCTTAGGCTAGGGCAGTGCAAGAGGAGGCTCCAGGCAGGAAGTGGAGAAGGTGATGTGGCGATTTCTGAGAGGTGTTGAAAAAAAGAGGAAGGTTTCTGCCTACTAGCTAGTCTGGTTGGTTCATCTCAGCTGGCCCTGCTATCTACCACCCGCTGCAGGAGCACTCGCTGACTGTAGTAACACTCGCTGCACCTGTAAAAGAGAAAGCAAAGGAGATCAGTTTAGTTTTTTTTTTTTTGTCTTGTTTTTTTGTTCTTTATGCTTTCGCTGGGGAGAAAAGAATGTCAAAGGAGGGGACGGGGGAGCTCTCTCTGTTTGTGTTTGTGTGTTGCTTAGCCCAGTGCCATAGTGTGTGTGTGTCTGCATAGCAGCCGGATCCACAATCCAGCAGTCGAATCTGATGTGGCTTTCTCAGGGATAGCAATTCAGATTCCACAATTCTGCCGTGTGTGAGTAGAATTGGCTTGCAATCCTCCTGGCGGGTTGTGTGTTGCATTTCTTTCTCCCCTTTTTTGGCTCTTTTTCTTACTCTTCCAGTGACATTTCAGGAAATAATCTGATTGGAAATGTTCCTGGATTACCTCAGACACTGCAACACCTGTAAGACCCTCGTTTCTCTGACACACCTCTCACACCAGGCTTGAAATAAGAGCCTGCTCACAACTGCACCTGCCATTCTCTCTCCCACTCTCTCGCCCCACTTCTTTCCCTCTCTCTCCCTCTCTCGCCCCACTGCTCTCCCTCTCTCTCTCTCTCTCGCCCCACTGCTCGTTCTCGTGCACTCACTGTGCTGGCTTAACACCGTGCGTGCATTGCAGGGACTTAAGCGGCAACATGATGTTGAACATTCTACCCAGCTCCATCGCCACTATAAAGAGACTCTCCTTCCTGTGAGCTCCCCATGCCTGTGAGAGCTCCGTATCCCTTTGACAGTCCCTTGCTTCATTGGTGTTGGATGGGAGGTGATGGTGGGAGGAGGAACGGGAGGGGGAGTTCGGTGGAAGACGGAGGAAGGATTTTATAAAGAGCAACGTGCTGCATCTGGTGGGTTCCTGCCTTTTGAGGCGCCTAGGAGTTGGAGGGGGAGTTCGGTGGGAGACGGAGGAAGGGTGTTTAAAGAGCAAAATGCTGCATCTGGTGGGGTCCTGCCTGCCTGCGCTTGTTTCCCTGTCGTAATCTTCTCTCAGTTTACATTTCATGACAAGCTGTCCTATGCAATCCTATGCATATGTACCTTTGTTTCAAGGCTAATATAGGTTAGAGGTTGTTTATCTGCCTTCCAGTCAGAGGGTATGGGTTCAACAGTTGAACTTCTACTCCCCCACTTATCCCATCTGTAAGGTGGATGTATATTTTACACTCGTCCTGTTTCCGTAGCATCCCATTCCCATCCCATCCCATCCCATCCCATCCTGTTTCCATCCCATCCCATCCCATTAAACTCCACTGCATCCCATTGCTGTGCACGCCCCCTCGCAGAGCATTGGACAACTGCTCTTTCAGTGACAGCGGCGTGCTGCTCCTCTCCGCCATCACCTCACTCAACCACCTGTGAGAGCACTCCACCACCTGCATAGGCCCACTGTGCTTCATACGCTCCTCATCAGTTCCTTCTGCACGCGCCCCTTCGCATACCTCCGTAACTCCGTTGGCATACTTTTGGAATTGCGAGCCCGCTGCTGCACTTGTTCCCTTGCGTCTCATTGCTCCCTTCCACCCCAGTGCTGCACTTGATTATGATTGCATTGCATCCCCTCGTTTCCCCGGCAGGTCATTGAGTGGCAACCCCATCACAACGATACCTAACCAGCTCAGCCCACTCACGGCCCTCACCGCACTGTACAAACTCGTCTCTCCCCTCTTCCCTCTTTTCTCCCTTCTTTCCCCCTCTTCTCCTCCTCTCGCCCCTGCTTTTCTTGACAACTACACATTGCTTCTCTTGTTGCTCATGGCGGTGCTGCTGGTGCTGGTGCTTCTGCTAAACCTCATGAGCTGTCCAGGCATGCTAAATTTCCATTCCCATTGCCCGCCCTTCCTCCTTCCTCCCTCCTTCACTTCTTCCCTTCCTCCCTCCCATCTGCCTATCTCCCCATCTGCCCATCTGCCCATGTGCCCATCTGTCCTCGGGTCAGGCATGCGTGCAACACCAAAATGGCTGGTGCCTTCCCCACGGCCCCTATTTCTGCCTTTACCAGACTTGTGGACCTGTAAGTTGTTCCTGCTGTCCCCCCCCTTCCCCTGCCCTCCCACCTCCGGTACCTCCGTCCTTTCTTCCTCCTGCTGGGCTCATTCTTGTGAGCTCTCAAAGCACAGTAAGATTTTAATTTCCTGGGTTGCAGGAACGCACAGAGAGTACATTCATGCATCTGTCTTAGTGACTAGACTCAACCCCCAACCAGGCGATACAGTGCGACTTGCTCACCGGCGTTCTCTGTCTCCCTTATCTCCCTTAGTGAGGTGCATTTTGAGGCGCCTCAAAATGCACCGGCGTTCCCTGTTTCCCTTATCTCCCTTAATCAAGTATCTCCTCCTCCTCGCTCTCTCTTCTCCCTCTCCTCTCCTCTCCCCTCCTTGCTCTCCTTTTCCTCCCTCCTTCCCCTACCTTCCTTTCCACCAATTTCCATTCCTGCCATTCAGGAATCTTTGTGGCAACCGTCTTGGCCCCGTGCTCCCCAGCCAGCTGACGAAATTGACTGCACTGACCACGCTGTGGGTTGGGCTGGCTGACTGACTGACTGACTGAATACTACTACCTGGTCCCTACCACGATTGGTGTCTCAATCTCCATTCACCACCCCCCTCCCATCCATGCTGCAGGATGCCATGCCTAATGTCTGCCACACCACACCACATGTGGCTGGCAAGCACTTCCCTCTCTTTCATTCGCGCTTTTACCGCCTGTCTGTTGAAAATGTTTATCACTTCTGTCGTGCCGTTTCTCAAGCGACACCGGTCTGGAAGCAGCCCTGCCGCTGCTCTCTGCCTCCTTGTTCTCTCATCTCATCTCATCTCATCTCATCTCATCTCATCTCATCTCATCTCATCTCATCTCATCTCATCTCATATGTCCTCATCTCATCTCATCTCATGTCCTCATCTCATCTCATCTCATCTCATCTCATCTCATCTCATCTCATCTCATCTCATCTCATCTCATCTCATCTCATCTCATCTCATCTCATCTCATCTCATCTCATCTCATCTCATCTCATCTCATCTCATCTCATCTCATCTCATGTCCTCATCTCATCTCATCTCATCTCATCTCATCTCATCTCATCTCATCTCATCTCATCTCATCTCATCTCATCTCATCTGATTTCATAGCATCGCAACATCCCTCCCGTCCACTCCCCCATGTCAGGAACCTCGCGGACAACAGCTTCAAAGGGAGTCTTCCCGCCGCCATACTCTCAATGCCTTCCCTGCAACAACTGTATGTGCCGTGCCGCCGTGTGAGCCTGCCTGACTTTTGAGGCGCCTCAAAAGACTTCACAGAAAGCCTTCTCTCAATTCCGTCGCTGGAAAAATTGTACGCTTCTTGCCTCTCTGCATGCCAGCCTACCTCTCATCTCTCATCTCTCATCTCTCTCTCTCATCAGCATGCATACTCTTTCATCCATTCCATGCTACTACTGACTGTGACTCTGTATGAGCAGCAGTCCATCCTGTCTCTGCCTAGTAATCTGTGTTTCATTCATAGCATAGCGTTGCGGCTGTTGCTTGGAGTCATGTTCATGAATCTCTAGAAATGTACCACTTGCCGTTTCGCCCCCTGCCTCTCTCTCTCTCCCTGCCAGCAACCTGAATGGCAACGGAATTGTCGGTGTCACTTCACAAGCCATTGCATCCACTGCGAATGCGGGCAAGCTCAAGTCTCTGTGAGTGATATGCTTGCAGTGGTTATAGATAGATGATATTTCTTCAATGTCCTTATGTCTCCTCCCTCCATGTTTCTTCCTCTCTTTTTTCATTACCTATGTCTCTTTTCCAAGTGTTGACCATGCCTCCATTCACATGCAAACATCATATTCTCATGCAAGCATCACATTTTCATGCATGCATCATATTCACGTGCATGTATCACTTTCACATGCAGGCATCATATTCACGTGCATGCATCATATTCACGTGCATGCATCATTTTCACGTGCATGCATCATTTTCATGTGCATGCATCATATTCACGTGCATGCATCATATTCACGTGCATGCGTCATATTCACGTGCATGCATCATTTTCACGTGCATGCATCATTTTCACGTGCATGCATCTTATTCACATTTCATGTATGATGTTGACACCTGTGCATCATAATCACATGCATGCATCACATTCACAGCGCTTACCCATCCCGTCATGCACTCATTGATTTTACACCACATTATTGCCTCGTCTTCACCACATTATTGCCTCCATTTACATGCATGCATCACATTCACATACAAGCATCATATTCACTTCACATGCAAGCATCATAACCAGAGTGCTTACCCAGCCCGTCCTGCACTCACTGACATTACACCACATTATTGCCTCGTCTTCACTGCACCCAGCAACTTGGGCAACAACAAGCTCACAGGGGTTCCACCCATCCTTTCCTTCTTTGCCCCTTCCTTGCAATACCTGTAAGTGTGTTTCCCTGTGGATGCATACGTGCGTGCACATGCGCAAGCACAAGTGTGTGTGCGTACATCCTTACAAGACTCTTACTCATGCGATGCACTGCACTGCACACACACCTGCATTGATCTTCTCTGTCTACTGCAAGCTGCTTTCGCCGGCTCACCTTCATGTGTGCACGTGCGCATGGATGTGTATGTGCATTTACGTGTGTGTGCATGAGTGTTTGTATGCATGGATGTGTGTGTGCGTGCGTGGACGTGTGCTGTTGCTCGCATGCCGCTTCCATGTGTCCATGTATCCGCATGCACATGGCATTGTGGCCCGTGCGTGCGTGCGTGCGTGTGTGTGTGCGTGGCTTGGCAGGGATGTGAGTGGCAACAGCATCACCTCTCCCCCTGACATTGTCACCTCACTCACAGTCTTGCAGCACTTGTAAGACCTCTCTCCTCATCCTGCAGGCTCCAGTCCAGAAGCAGTGGGCAGTTGGAGTTGGAGTCACGGACACCGTCGTTGCATTGCAATACTGGAGTTTTCTAATTTCAAAGGGGCTGCTCGAATCCCAAATCGTGGCGTGCACTTGTTGTTAGCGTGTCGTGTCGGACACGCCGTGCCGTGCCCTGCATTCTTCACGGTTTATGCCAGTCCGCATTCAGCCATGGTCAGGCCATTCTCCCAACAATCTACCTGTTCTCTCTGCCTGCCTACTGTGTCTATTTTTGACCGCACACACCTAGTGAAAGTCCAGTGCTGTCTGCGCGCCAGCACACACCTAGTCACATCATTGCATGAGATCTTTGGCCACTCTCAAGTTTCGAGACGTCTCAACTCAAAACATAATTGGCCATTCTCAACTCAAGCACCAAATTTGACAAGACCACCTACCCACCCGCCTACCCACCCACCCACCCTCCCGAACTGCTGCCACGTTTCCTCCCCCATCACAGGGACCTGAGCCGCAACGGCCTCTTGGGCTCCTTCCCTCCAGCCTACATAGCCCTGACATCGCTCCAGCACCTGTCAGTCCTCCTCCTCCTCCTCCTCCTCCTCCTCCTCCTCCTCCTCCTCCTCCACCTCCTCCTCCTCCTCCTCCTCCTCCTCCTCCTCCTCCTCCTCCTCCTCCTCCTCCTCCTCCTCCTCCTCCTCCTCCTCCTCCTCCTCCTCCTCCTCCTCCCTCCCTCCCCTGCCCCCCCCCTTCCTTCCTCCCGCTCCTCCCTCCCATTCATCATGCCCTGCTACGCCATGCTCTCCCCTGCTGCCCCTCTGTTGCGCTGCAGCCTCGGATGTCGGCGGACCTTGTTCCCGTTCCCGTTCCGATCCCAACCAGGGCAGCAGTCTAGATGGCTCAGTAGCTTGCTGGCCGACTGCGCGCTTGGCTGGCAGGCTGGCTGGCTGTTTGGTTGGTTGGTTCGTTGTTGCAATATAGCATTGGCGGATAGATAGCTACTCAATGTTGGCGAGAGTGGTGGAGTGAGCCGAATCCTGTGAAGAACTGCTGGGAAATCTCTCTCAATCACCTCCGTTGTGCTGTCTGCCTGCCTGCCTGCCTGCCTGCCTGCCTGCCTGCCTGCCTGCCTGCCTGCCTGCCTGCCTGTCTCTGTCTCGCTGTCTATTTCGCAGAGATGTTTCTCACAACAACTTCACGGGAATGCTACCGGTGCTCACTACTCTCACCCTCTTGACAACCATGTGAGCCATGCCATGTTCCCTGCTCTCCGCGCTGGTCATCCCCATTATCTACCCTCTTCACGTACTGCCTACTTCTGCCAGACCCGCTCCCACTCCTCTTGACGCTCTCGCTTTCCCTCTTGCCTCACTCACCCGTTCCTCCCTCACTCTTGCTCTTTCCACTGCTGTACTATCTATCAACCAAGCATGGTGAAGGGCCTGCCTGCCCCTGGGGCAGTTTTTAGTTAGAAAAACTTCATCAACAACATTAACAACAAGTGCAATGTTTGTGGATGTAACTTAGCACTTTGTGCGGCCTGGTTGGTGGTGTGCATGTGCATGAATACGAAGAGAGCAAGCAGGTCGCACATGCTTGTCTTCAGTTTGTAAGATCTGACATATTTCGATTGCTGCTTGACTCTGAAAAAAAAATCAAGCAAGCACATATATAGTAATCTCAGAAATTAATGACTCTGGCTGGGTCAGGGTCAGGTCAAGTCAACCCGTGAGATACCTGTCCCACCCATCCAGCCTCATAACAGGCAGGCTGTCCTCCTGTCCCGTCACGAGCTTGCCTAGCCTAGGGTCATGCCTATTTAGTACGAGCTTGTCTACTGAGAAGCAGCACTATGCCCTTCCTCTTTGTCTTTGCCGTTGCCTTTGCATGCGTGCAGCAATCTGGGTTACAACAGCTTCTTTGGGCCAGTGTTGACGACTATGGGCAGTGTCAGCAACCTGCAGGAGATGTATGTACGGTGCTGCTGTGTTGACGGCTCTCATGCCCCACCACCACTGCTTCTAACGGTGCTTGCTTGATGCGCCGCTTGGATGTCCTGATCACACGCCCTTAATGCTCCTGCCCTCATAGTTTGCTCGTTTGCTCGCTGTACTGGAGACTCCTGACGGGCAGTTCCGTATCTCTCTAAAATGGGGCTTCAAATTTGGTGTTTGGTATGATTCTCTGCTCCCCTTCTCTCCTTTTCCCTCGTTTTCTCCTCACTCTTTTTTGCCAGCAATCTGCAGAGCAATCTGTTGGAGGGGCAGCTGAGCGGGAGCCTCACTGACTTCTCAGTCCTCAAGTCACTGTGAGAGGGCCACGTGAAACGAGTGTCGTGTTTTGAGTTGACGCAAAAATTGTGAGTCGACTCAAAGCAATCTGTTGGATAGCTGAGCGAGGGCTTCACTGACTTTACAGTCCTCAAGTCACTGTGAGAGGGCCTTTGCTGGTGCGTGCGTGCGTGCGGGTGGGTGGGCAGGCGGCATGCGTGATCGCATGCTTGCGGTCGCACATTTGCATGTTCTGTGTTCGTGTGTGCACATGAGTGTGTCCTCAATATAGTGTGTGCGAGTGCGCATGCGTTAGTGCATGCGTGCGTGCATGCGTGCGTTCGTGCGTGAGTGCGTGCCTGCGTGAGTGCGTGCCTGCGTGAGTGCGTGCCTGCGTGAGTGCGTGCCTGCGTGAGTGCGTGCCTGCGTGAGTGCGTGCCTGCGTGAGTGCGTGCCTGCGTGAGTGCGTGCCTGCGTGAGTGCGTGCCTGCGTGAGTGCGTGCCTGCGTGAGTGCGTGCCTGCGTGAGTGCGTGCGTGTGTGCATGTTGCTGCTGGCTCAGCCACATTGGCTGTCATGTCAATCTGTCTTTGTTTGGGAATGCTTGTCCAACCGACCTACCCAGCTCAACTCAATCTCGTTTCCTCTCCTCTCCTCCATTCCGCATCACCACTCACTCTCTTTTCCCTCGCCATGCGGCAGTGCAATCTCGGGCAACCGCATTCAAGGGTCTCTACCACTGGACTACAGCGTGTTTACAGGCCTGGAGCACCTGTGCGTGAACCTCTCCTCTCCGCCTAAACTGCACCTTAGCTTAACACTCTCATGCATGAATTCGCGTATATAATCTACCACTGGACTACGGCGTGTTCACCACCGGCGTGGAGCAGCTGTGCTGTGCGTGAACCTCACCTTCCAAGCTACACCTTTGCTCAACAAAAGCTAGCCCTGTAACCCTGTTCTTTGAGGCGACTCAAAAAGCACCTCAATGCACGCTCAATCTTGGCTGAACATGAGATGAGCCCTGTAGCCCTGTTCATGGCATGGCACTATGAGTTTACTAGATAATATGCCACTTGGCTATGGCCTGTTTCGTGGGAGCAGACCAAATCGTCATCGAACTAAACTTTAGCTAGCACTCTTCCTGGATTACGGACCCCCCTAAATTCGCTAAAGTATGCACGCCGTGCGTGCGTGCGTGCGATGGACGGTTCGGACGATTGCGATGCAATGCAATGTGAGACGCGTGCATGCTGCGTCACATCGATTTTGACAAAACAGCCTGCGATCTTGGGCGTTAGCACAATATTGCAAAATGGTTACAACCCCCCCTTACTTTGTTGTCTTTGCTTGGACTGCTATGTCTGTCTGTCTGAATATCTATGTATTTCCACGTGCACATCACTGTGGTGACTTTTGAGTCGACTCAAAAGTCTGAATATCTATGTATTTCCACGTGCACATCACAGTTCTTGCATCTGTTGTTATCAGAGGATGGTCCCATACTGAATGCTCTCGCGACTTATCATTTTCTTGTGCCTGTGCTGCTGCCTCTTCCTCTGCCTCTTCCTCTGCATCTTCCTGTGCCACATGTCATGGCAGGGATATGAGCAACTGCTTGTTCTCAGGAGCCCTGCCCGAGACATGGAGCCAACTCAGCAGCATCAAAACCTTGTTAGCCCACTACTCCTGCCACGCTGGCCCAATACGAGCAATCCTGTGTATTGCTCGTATTGCTCGTGTTGTACTGAGCCCGGCCTTTGAGCCCGGCCTTTGAGCTCGGACCATTCGCCTTCGTACCGTATGCCCCCTTTCTGTTGCATGATTCCAACATCCCACTCCATCTCTGCTTTGCCTCCATTCCTGCCACCTTGCCTGCCTGCCTGCCTCGCCTCGCCTCGCCACAGGAACCTCTCTCGCAATGATCTGCTTGGCACCATTCCGCTGTTATGGACTCTCATCACCAGCCTCACTGCTCTGTAAGAATAGCAAGTGAATTGCATACACGGGTAGCAGCAGCAGTGGCTCCCGCCAGTGGCAGTTGCGGCAGTGGTGGGTGGGGTGGCAGTGCAGCCATTCCCTAAACCCTGTGAACTGCTAGATGTGAAGCATAGTGTATACCCTTATACCCTCTAGCACCCTATACCATATTCTAACAGTTCAGCCGGCCGTTCCTTCTTTCCTGTGCCCCCCATCTCCCCAACCTCTTCTCCACTCACACATCTCTCGGCTCCCTCCCCACCTCCCTCTCCCTTCCCCCGCCCTTTCCACCCTCCTGCACCGCCGCACCTGCACAACATCTTCCTTTGCACCTGTGCTCTGCACGCTTCCATGTGGGCTGGGTGGCACAGCGATTTGTTGTACAACAGGCTGGATGGAATCACTCTTGAGAATTCTCAGAAGTGATTTCAATCCGCTTTGCTCGTTTCCATGTGGGCTGGGCGGCACAGTGACCTGTCGTACAACAGGCTGGATGGCGGTCTTCTGACGTTTGAGGTGGAGGGCATGGCCAACCTTGCACACATGTGAGTGAGCACAGCAGCAGGGCAGGGCTTGCATTTGAGGCGCCTCACTCACAAAAGCGCTTTGTTTCTTAGGCGCCTCAAGAGCAGTCTTCTGACGTTTGAGGTGGAGGGCATGGTCAACCTTGCACATATTTGAGAGAGCAGAGCAGCAGGGGTTGCTTGGCTTGGCATATGAGGCGCCTAACATGAAGAATGAGTGAGGCGGTTCTGTACTGAAGGCGCCTAACATGCATTTTGCATGTGCGGTGCGCTGGGCAGTGAGCAGCTTGCATTGTTGATCGTGGTGCTCTCGGTCCTACTACTCTCCTTGGTGTTGCGCGCATCGTATCTCATCCCATTGCCTCACATCAAATTGCATCGTTTCCCTTACCATCCCATCCCATCCCATCCCATCCCATCCCATCCCATCCCAAACCATCCCAACCCATCCCGTCCCATCTCATCCCGTCCCAACCCCCCCGTCACCCATCAGTCGCCTCAACGACAATGCTTTTCCGGGTGCTCTGCCAACACAATTCACAGTTCTCACGAGCCTTCGCACCCTGTCAGCACCACCACCTCCACCTTCCTCTCTCTCTCTCCCTCTCGGCGCCTTCCCGTTCCTTCCTGCTCCTTGTTGACTAGACTAGACATGTCACATGCCTGCATGTTCATGCGTTCACATGTCCACATGTCCATGTGTGTGGGTGTGTGCTGTGCATGTCTTGATGGGTCCATGTGTCCATGAGATCCATCCATATCCATTCAAATGTCCAGTCCATGAGCTCGCCAGTGCACCTGTGGCGCGTGTGTGCTTATCTGCTACTAGTCAGCTGATGTTCTTCAAGAACCTTCTACAGACATATTCGGCCACCCTTCCTGCTCTCCTTGGTCGTGCATGTCCTTGTCAAGTCAAGCCAAGTCAAGCTATTCAGGTGCCAGTGGAGCAGCAGTGGGGGCTGATGCGGTCCGTGAGCTGATACCTCTGTCCTGTTTACGTGCTGTGCTGGTCCCTCTGCTCTGCTGCAGGTCCCTCAGCAACAACCTCTTTATTGACGGTTTCCCAAGTTTCCTGGGCAGTTTTCCTCTCCTCACTTATGCGTAAGCTGCCTTTTTAGTTTGTCTCCTCCTCTGGCGTTCTCTAGCGTTCTCTCTTGCCCTTTGCCCGGCTTTCACTTCTTTCTTAACTGTCTGATGTCCTGGAACCCTGATTATCACCCTCCTGCTTCGACCGCAATCATCTTGTCTACTGCTGCTGCTGCTGCTGCTGCTGCTGCTGCTGCTGCTGCTTTTGCTGCCGCCTACTGCTGCTGCCGCCGCGGCCTCTGGTGCTGCTGCTGCCGCCGCTGCTGCCGCCGCCGCTGCCGCCGCCGCTGCCGCCGCCGCCGCTGCCGCCGCCGCTGCCGCCGCTGCTGCCGCCGCTGCTGCCGCCGCCGCTGCTGCTGCTGCCGCTGCTGCCGCCGGTGCTGCTGCTGCTGCCGCTGCTGCCGCCGCCGCTGCTGTCGTGCCCATCTCCAGCAATGTGAGCCACAACCAGCTCTCTGGACCATTGTCAGAGAAGCTCTCCTTTGCCACTTCTCTTCAACTGCTGTAAGTCCCTGCCCTTGGACTCAATCTCGCTAACCCCCGTTCCTCTCCTCAAATACCACCTCTTGTATTTTCACCCCCCATGCTGTAGCTTGGATGTATGTAAGGCCGGAAATTTCTGTTAATCCGAAGGGGTGTTCCTTTGCTCGTTCTGCAGTTTGGTTTGTGTAGGGTTGTTGTGTTCTGGTTACGGTTTGTGCGCTCGTGTTGCCTTGCCTGGCGGCAACCCTATTCATTCGTTTCTCGCCTCTGGTTTGACTATCCCCCCCGCCTTTGCAAATGCTGCTGTGCTCTGGCTTATCCCATCCCATCCCGTCCCATCCCATCCAATGGAAATCCTTATCATTTGTATCGTATCCCCTCCTCCATTTTAGACTTGCCTTATAATTACTTCTCACTCGCCCTACCTCGCTTGCTCTTTCACTTCTTTCCCTCCTCCCTCCGTACCTGCACGGCGCCATGGCACGCCATACGAGTGCAACAGGGACCTATCTCACAACCAGTTTGATGGGAATTTGGAAATGTTGACAACTTACAGTGCCAATTCTCTTAAATACCTGTGAGCCTACTTACCGTAGATGATGGACTACTAGGCTGCACAACCATCGTCTCACGTGTTCACACTTACCTGCACACACACTCACACACACGCACGCACACACACGCACGCACACGCACGCATGCACACACACGCACACTTACGCACACACACTCATACATGTAATTCATGCATCCACCGCACTTCACTGCCTACGTTTCTCCCAATGCATTTCCATGCCATCATTACCCACTCAAGTCCCATCCCATCCCATCCCATCCCATCCTCATCCCATCCCATCCCATCCCATCCCATCCCATCCCATTCGACGGAACCCACCATCCATGTCCAGGTGTCGCATGTGCTTCTATCATACCCATCACATGGCATTATCTCTCCTCACTTTCTCTCTTTCTCTCCCTGGTGCATCTCCATCCCACAATCACCTCCTTTTTCCCCCTGTCCAGGGACATCTCGTACAACAAGTACGAATGTGATCTGCCTGGGGATGTCACACTCCTGAAACGTTTAGAGCATCTGTGAGTGTATGTTGCAGTTGTTTGTGTGATTTCTTTCTTTCTTTCATGGGCACTTGCACACACCTTTTATTTAAGGTGTCTTGGTGCGTGACGCTCTTAATGCACCTCGCCTCTACTGCTCTCTTTCTGTGTTTAGCTTTAGCATCCCATCCAGTCACATCACAACCCATCCCATCCCATCCCATCCCATCCCATCCCATCCCATCCCATCCCATCCCATCCCATCCCATCCCATCCCATCCCATCCCATCTGGTCTCACGCAGCCCCAGCTTCAGCTGGGGAACCCTCAGCACTCTCAATCAAGCAGCCTGTCAAGCCCACTCCCTGGCTCTCTTCTCCTCTCTCAAACGGTCCTTCTTATTGATTCAGGTAGGGTACAAACATGCAGATTAATCCTCTCTCTCTTGCGCTCTCTCTCCCTTCCCACAATCCTCCCTCCTTGCAGTGACCTCAGAGGCAACGTCATTCTGGTGCCCCTACCTCCCACCATCTCAAAACTGAGCTCACTCACCTTCCTGTCAGTATCGCCCCCCTCACCAAACCGGACACACTCAGCATTGCCCCTCACACTCTCAGCATCGAGCCTCACACGCTCAGCATCCCCCCTCACACTCTCAGCATCCCCCCTCACACTCTTAGCATCCCCCCTCACACTGTCAGTGCTGCTTCTTCCATCGCCAATGCTCAGCTCACTCACTCTAACTCATTGCTTACATAATTCGGTCTGCCCATTGCTGCGCGCTCAAATCGACCCCTTCCTTCTTTAGTCGTGTCTCAGGAGCGGCCTTGCTTGTGAGACATCAGCGTACCATGTCATTCCATACCATAGCATGACAACCTATACCATGTCAACCCTACTATACCATGTCGTTCCATACCATACCATGCCATGCCAACCCCTACGATGTCCGTACCATGTCACCCCGCCACACTGTATTATGCCCTGTCCTGATGCTGCCGTGCCCTGCCGTTCATCCCTCTCCCAGAGGACTGAGCAACAGCACACTTCAGGACATTCCTCTCCTCGTCTCCTTCACCGACCTCAAGCACTTGTCAGTCCATGCCATGCCATGCCATGCCATACAACACAATACAATGTGTCATGTCACGCCGTGCCTGGGTGCCATACCACACTGGCATGCCACATACAGAGCCATATCATGCCATGCCAAGGCATGCCATGCAACGCCATGTTGTTGCATGCCTCAAAAAGGAATCTCATACAGTGCATACATATCATGCCATGCCATGCCTCCCCATACAATGCTATCCTGTGCCATGCCGTGCCGTCCCATACCTCACAACACCCCATACAACGCCATGCCATGCCATGCAATGCTGCACCTCGATCCAGGCTGCACTCGTGCTACTTATTCACCATTCATCCACTGGAAACCGACTTCCTCACCACTGTACTTATGCAGTCGCCACACACACACACACACACACACACACACACACACACACACACACACACACACACACACACACACACACACACACACACACGCACACGCACACGCACACGCACGCGCACGCGCACGCGCACACGCACGCGCACGCACACGCACACGCATGGACGCGTGTGCACACACCGTTCCGCCGTGCCTTGCGCCCGCATCCCATTGCATTTTCTCGTTTCCCCTCCAGGTCGCTGGGTGGCTCCGGCATCACATCGCTGCCCAATCAACTCAGCCTACTCACTGGCCTCACCTCACTGTACACACTCCTTCCCTGCCTGGCACCCGAACCCCTTCCTCGTTCCACTCTGATTCCTCTCTTCTCTACTCCTCTCCTCTGCTCTCCCCTTATCCCCTCCCCACTCTTCACCTCCGCTCTCCCCTCACGTCCTCCTCTTCTCTCCCCTCTCTTTCGTCACCATGCTGCTCGCTCTCTTTTTCTCATAGCGTTCTCTTCTGTTCCTCATCTCTGCGTCAATACTCATACGCTCCAGTCCAGTGTAGGGAGAGCAGCAGCTACACCAACACTCACTCACACGTGCACTCACACCGCATGCATGTGAACCAGCTCCCACCACCAGCATCATTGTACAATCAAGTCCAAGGCCTTCCGTCTCACGTTCTCTTCTTCTCCTTCTCCACCCCATCCTTCCTCTTCCCTTCCCTTCCCTTCCTCCCCCACCACAGCTTATGTGAGAATTCGCTAAGAGCCCCATTGCTTTCACTGCACCGTAGCATCTCTCCTGAGTCGACTCAAAACATCTTTCTTCTCTTCACGCCATTCCGAGTCCTGCTCACGAGTCGACTCACAAGCCCCGCTCTTCTCTCTTACTCTCCGCACCGCAACGTCTCGTCTCCCTTGCCTTATACCCCTGCAGGAACGCCTCTGGCATTGGTCTCACCGGCCCCTTTCCGCCTTACATCGTCAACTTCCCTGGCCTCGTTTACCTGTTAGTCTTGTGTTGTTTTGGGGGAATATTTTTTGCTTGTTTCTCCGCCAATCTGCTCTGCTTTCTCCCTTTTTGTTCATTGCAGGCAGGCTGCGCTTTCCTGTTGCACGTCGCTTTCCTGTTGCATTTCCCATACAGCTGTGCCGTGCCGTGTGCCGTGTGCTATGCTGTGTGCTGTGCTGTGCTGTGCCGTGTGCCATCTGCGCCCTACCATCAGTGCACTGGGAATCTTCATCTCTGCAACTGTCCATCATTCATCTCTGTCTGCTTTAACCTCTCTCCTATTCTCCCGCACTCTCTCACTCTCCTTCGGTCACTCCTCACTCCACTTTCCTCTGGCTGTCCCTTTGGAGCAGTCTCAAATCTCTGTTTCCCTCTTCGTTGCACTCTCATCCTCATCCACTCGTCTCTCCTCCCTGCACATCCCTCTTTCCTCCATTGCTCTTTCCCAGACCTTTTTTCCTCCCTCTCCATCCTCCTCTCCCTCCCCCCCTCTTCCTTTGCCCACTGCCCTCAGCAACCTGTCGAACAACTACATAACTGGCAGCATACCGGATAAGCTATCCTCTCTGGTCAATCTCTCAGCACTGTAAGCTGTGCACGCCTGCTGAGGTGTCTTTGAAGGAACAGACTACATGGAGATTAAAGTGCCAAAGGATGCTGTGTGCGTGCGTGCGGGCGGGTGGGAGGAGGGCAAACGAGAGGGTGGGCGGGAGGGTGGGTGTTGGGCGAGTGCAAACCATGTGGGTGTGGCTGCTGGTGTGTTGGGTGCATACCAATGAATCAGTACTGCATCCAATTGTTGGAGTTGCTTTGTAAGTTGCTTCAACTCACCACTTTCTGAAGTCCAAGTGGATCTCTCTTTTAATCCCACTGCCTCTCTGCTTCTTTCTACTCTTTGGATGACCCCACCCACCCCACCATGTCCATGGGGAACAACAGGAGCCTAGAGAACAACAGGCTTCAAGGCGACATTCCGGGGAAGCTCCTCACGCTGCCCGTGATCAAGACAATGTATGTGCACTGCAAAAGAAGCTGCTCGTGTGCTTGCGTCCTCCCTGCTTGAGGCATCGTGCGCTGTGCTTGTGCCCTCTGCTCTGCTTCTCCTGGAAGTACCGTATCAGTGCAGTGTGGTGTGGAGCCCGCCTTCTTTTCCCTTGTGGCCTTTGATATCCAATGCCCTTGTGCTCCATCGTTTGCACATGGTGGCCTCGGAACGAATCACGACCACGTGGTTTCATTTCATCATAATATTTTTGGATTGGATGGAGCCTGCTGCTCTCTTTCTTGGTCCTTGTGTGCCGTCCGTCCTCCCTTGCTTTGCCGCATGTCCAGGACAACTTGCTCGCAGTCTTGCTGCTGTGGTTCCTCGTTTGATGAAGTGCACCGCATGCTGTGGCCCCAGACGCGTATTCTTCCCCACTCATGCCTCACTCATGCCTCACTCCTTCCTCACCCCTGCCTCACTCCTTCCTCACCCCTGCCTCACTCCTTCCTCACCCCTGCCTCACTCCTTCCTCACCCCTGCCTCACTCCCGCCTCACTCCCGCCTCACTCCCGCCTCACTCACTTGTAGGATCCTCCGTAGCAACGCTCTTACGGGCATCACTCCCCCTGGCCCCATCACTGCGCCGTCCCTCGAGATCCTGTCAGTGCCTTTTACCCCCCACTTAAGAATCAAATCGGATAACATCAATACGATACCAGCCAACCCATCCGTCTTCTCCACATATTCTTTGCCACGTGATAGCGATTTTCTTCTGGGCTGACGTAGCTGATCCCCTTCTGAGGCGCCTCAAAAGTTTTTTCCTGGGCGGATGTGACTGATCCCTTTCTTGCTTCTCCCCAACTCTCCCCTTCCTGCACCCCCCTTCCCCGAGCTCTCCTGTCCCTCGGCCTCTCTTCCCGCTCTTCGTTCCTCCCTTGCGCCCCGTGATCGCTTCTAAAATTTTCCAAGTGTGTGTGTGGGTGTGTGTGTGTGCGGGTGTGTGGGTGTGTGCGTGGGTGGGTGGGTGGGTGTTTGGGTGGGTGGGTGGGTGGGTGGGTGGGTGTGTGTGTGTGTGTGTGTGTGTGTGTGTGTGTGTGTGTGTGTGTGTGTGTGTCTGGGTGGGTGGGTGGGTTGGTGGCTGAGTGGGTGCGTGCGTGCGTGCGTGTGCACATGCTGCGTGCATGGCCGTGGTATCATGGCATGGCTCCATTCTGTGCTGTCGCTCGCAGTGACCTGGGCTACAACAGGCTGGCTGCCATTGCAGACTCACTCTTCTCCCTCACCACCCTCCAGCAACTGTCAGTCAACCCGCCCACCAACCACCACCATTGTACTCCCGTCTTCCTGCTTACCTTCTAGACGACTCAAAAAACCTGCACCCTCTCGTCAGCGTTGCATTGCTCTGCTCTGCACTGCACACGCAGCAAGCCCATGCATGCGATGCGATGCGATGCCATGCGATGCGATGCAATGCAATGCAATGCAATGCAATGCAATGCGATGCGATGCGATGCGATGCTATGCGATGCGATGCGATGCGATGCGATGCAATGCAATGCACCACGGGGCAGCTCGTGACGACATGCTTGTTCCTTTCAGCCATTGAGTGTTGCACGTATTGGCGCGTGAATCCGACACCACATCACGAGTGAAGGCTGCGCCGTGCCTTTGGCTGTGTTCCCATCTGTGTTCCCATCTGTGTTCCCATCTGTGTTCCCATATGTGTTCCCATCTGTGTTCCCATCTGTGTTCCCATCTGTGTTCCCATCTGTGTTCCCATATGTGTTCCCATCTGTGTTCCCATCTGTGTTCCCATCTGTGTTCCCATCTGTGTTCCCATCTGTGTTCCCATCTGTGTTCCCATCTGTGTTCCCATATGTGTTCCCATCTGTGTTCCCATCTGTGTTCCCATCTGTGTTCCCATCTGTGTTCCCATCTGTGTTCCCATATGTGTTCCCATCTGTGTTCCCATCTGTGTTCCCATCTGTGTTCCCATCTGTGTTCCCATCTGTGTTCCCATCTGTGTTCCCATCTGTGTTCCCATCTGTGTTCCCATCTGTGTTCTCATCTGTGTTCCCATCTGTGTTCCCATCTGTGTTCCCATCTGTGTTCCCATCTGTGTTCCCATATGTGTTCCCATATGTGTTCCCATCTGTGTTCCCATCTGTGTTCCCAACTGTGTTCCCAAATGTGTTCCCATCTGTGTTCCCATCTGTGTTCCCATCTGTGTTCCCATCTGTGTTCCCATCTGTGTTCCCATCTGTGTTCCCATCTGTGTTCCCATCTGTGTTCCCATCTGTGTTCTCCTCTGTGCTCTCGCCTCCACTGTGTGCTGTGGTGCCCTACATTACATGCATGCATGTGTGCAGGTACTTGAATGGCAACGTCATACCAGGCACTATCCCAATGACGTTTTCCGTTCTTGTCAATCTTGACACCCTGTAAGCCTTTCTTCCCATGCACGATGCGTGCACTCTACATGCGGTGTGCATGCTGTGCTGTGCTTAGCTGTGCTGTGCGGTGCGGTGCGGTGCGGTGTTGTGCCGTGCCGTGCCGTGCTGTGCTGTGTTGAGTGGTGCTGTGCTGTGCTGTGCGGTGCTGCATGACCCAGTTTGACAGTTCATGTTCTACTCTCATAACCAGATTCAATCAGCCTCGCATACTGGTTGGCTGACAGTGCTGCCGAGTTGTCAACCCCGCCCCTCTCTGCCTTGCTCCCATACTTATCACATCGTGCATCGTCTCAGGTGGCTCAACAACAATCAACTGTCCGGGACCATCCCCCCCCTCCTCGTCATCATGACCCAGCTTCGGGTGCTGTAAGTGCAAGGGCTAACACGCACCACATAAGCTAACATCTCCACGAACCCCCCCTCCCCCCCCCCCCTCCTCCCGCCCCCCCCACACTTGTGTGCACTGCGCAGTGCAGAAACCTGCCGAGGAACGTGCGGACGGAAAGAGATTCGCCTTTGCAGTACTCTCTTCTTCTTGCTTGCATGAATCTTCAGTGTTGTGCAATAACTCAATAATCCCCTCTGAGAAATGCCACAAGTTTCCCCTCTGCTTCCCCGCCTTCTCTGCGCCGCGCTTTGCTGCACAGGAACCTGGGTAGGAACCTGCTGACGGGAGAGATTGCGAGCAGTGTGCTCCAGGCCGCAGACAAGATGATCACCCGCTCTGCAACCCGTGTGTCCAAGGCTGCTGCTGTGGCTCATCCGTCGGTCGATGATGCTCCGCCAAAGCTGGAGAGCCTGTAAGTGAGCTGGCTGATGGGGCAGCAGGCAGGTGGAAAGACGACATTCAAATGCTGCCATTGTGTGTCTGGCTCTGTCTGTGTGTGTTTTTCATGGTCGGGGTTGATGTGTGTGCTCTCCCTCCCTCTCATCTCATCTCATCTGCCCTTGGCTCTCACCTCTCATGGAATGCTCTCTCGTAAGAGAACAACAGTAGCGGGCTCCTTGGGTTCGCGAGAATGGCGATGCTATGAAGTTAGAAGTTCTAACAATACCGATGGGTATTTTTGAGAATTCTCAAAATTACCGTGCAGCACCTTGGGTTCGTGAGAATGTCTAACAACGCCGCCGATGAAGGCTCAGCCGAAACGTGTTTGTGAATATTTCTTTTGCCACGAGACTTATCGGATGTTGTTCTTTACTTTCCTCCTGGTCTCTACAACAACCTGCCCATGACTTCTAGCCGAAAGTCTCAAGGAGACCTTCGGCTTGCTGCGGTTGGCATTTTTCAACTCCGCTGTAGCTCCTTCACATCACACTCCTCCTCTCCCCCTTTACTCTACTTCTCTCCCCCTTCACTCTCCTTCTCTCCCCTTCACTCTCCTTCTCTCCATCATCACTCCTTCTCTCCATCATCACTCCTTCTCTCCACCCTCACTCTCCCTCCTCCCACCCACTCTCACTCTCCTCTCCACCCACCTTGACTCTCCGTTACCCCGGCATTTAAGATAGTGCACATGATGGCATGCCGCCGCACTGATATGTTGTGTATGCAACAGATGCTTCTATCCCGTACACCAGCAACTTCTCCCTGTTGTTTCTGTTGTTCAGGCGCCTCAGAAGTAGATGCTTCTTTGCTGATGGGTATAGCGTGCCCTTGCTCAAGCATTTTCTCTTGTGCCTTTTCTGATGCTCCATTGTCAGGTGCCTTAGCGACAACTTCCTGGCCGGCTCGATTCCTCCATCACTCATGAATTTCAACCGCCTAAACGACATGTATGCTAATTGCATCACATGCATCACATGCATTGCACAGCATATTTCGAGGTTTACGCTGCAAATGGCATGTGCCATTCCTCTTCTAAACGTCGCCTGTTGCATTCCATTCATGCATCACGTTCTGTGTCACGCATGCCGCACCTTGTCCGCTTTTCATTCCAAGCATGAACCTGCTGCTCTTCATCCCACCACTCACTGCACTCCCTCTCCACCTTTCTGTTTTTGCGGCGGCCGCAGCGGCGGCGGTGGCGGCAGCTGCTGCTACTGCATCTCGCTCCCCACCACAAGACTCATTCCCCACCACAAGACTCATTCCATCCCACCACAAGACTCATTCCCCGTCATTTTTTACAATTCTCAAAATCGTGACTCATCTCGCTCTTTTTTCCCGTGTCCTGCCGTTGCCGATTGAACAGTCAGCTGCAGAACAACCAACTATCTGGGACCATCCCCAACGTTGACCCTTTAAACTCCCTCACAAATCTGTGCGTCTCCTTGTTCATGCATGCATGCACGTGCTCATGCTCACTCACTCCTGCCTTCCCCAGGCACCTTGTGAGGCATGCCTCGCTCACTGCCTCTCGCTGCCTTGCTTTCTTGTTTACACTCACCCTTGTCCATCCTCCTTATTGTGATTCTCAAATCATTTTCCCACCCACCCACGGTTCCCCACCTCCACAGTCATTCCCTCTTCCTTTTCCTCCCCCTCGTGTGCGGATTCCATGTGCCTCTTCGTACTGCCATGCCATGCTGTACCATGCCGTCTCTTCCCTGCTGTCCCATCCTCGCAGTCGTCTAGCAGACAACAACTTCACAGGCACCATTCCAGAATCCATTGGCGGTCTCCTGCTGCTCGAGCACCTGTAACCATTGCTGACCCCCCTTCCCCTCTTCCACTCCTGTAACTATTGCTGTCCCCCCTCCCGTTTTCCACTCCTCGTCTCTCCTTCCGCTCTCTTTCAATTCTCTCCTCCCGCTCTCTTTCAATTCTCTCCTCCCCTCTATCTCCAATCCACCTCACAAGAACTCCCTTTCTTTCCTCTCCTCTCGTTCTTCTCCCCGGCCTCCTTCATTGCACATGCACTCACTAATTTGTTCTTCCCATTGTCTCTCGTCCCTATTTGCCGCTGCTGCCGCTCCTGCTGCTGCTTTGTGTCAGGGACCTGAGTGGCAACAGCCTTAGCGGAGAGATTCCCGAGGACTTCACAGGCCTTGTCAAGCTCACAGTCCTGTAAATAAGCCATCCCATCCCAGCCTCCCTCACATACTCGCTTCGCTCTGCTCTTCTAATACTTGTTCGTTACCGCACACTGTCTGCCCTGCACCTCCTCCCCTCTCCTTCTGCATCCTGCATGAACATCTTTGTCATTCTCCCTTTCGATCTTCTCCCACTCTTCCTTCCTCTCATAGCCTCCCCCCTCTTCCACCCGCAACGCAACCCTTGCGTCTCATGCCCTACCATGCTCTCCCGATTGTTCCAATCATCTGCTCTCCACCGATCTTCTCCCCCTCCTCTTCCCCTCATTCCCTCCTTAACGCCCCGCTCCTCTCCAATAACCTTCCTCTCCAATCCCCCTTTTCTCCAATCCTTTTTTTTTCTTCAATCCTTCTTTGCTCTAATTCCCCTTGCGGCCAATTTCCCCGCCCTGCCACCAGCAACCTGCGGGACAACCAGCTCACAGGGCGTCTGCCCGACCCGCCACCCAACATCGTGCAGTACCAGCTCGACAAGAACTTCTTCACTCAGGGCTTCTCCTCCCCGCCCAACTGCGCCGTTGTCTCCGTCCGCGCCAACTGCGTCCCCCAGACCGACCCCTCGCTCACCTGCCCAGAAGACAAGCAGAGGCTTCCAGAGGTCTGCTCGTCCTTCTGTGGCCTAACCGCCACAGACCCCCCGTGCAACGGCCACGGAGAATGCCTCCTGGAGGGCCCGAACAAGGTTCCGGTGTGCCAGTGCTACGAGGGGTTTCAGATCGGGGAGTATAGGGGCAGCTGCGTGCCTGTGGTGGGTGGGTCGGCGCTCGTTGCCATGCAACCCGTGGCAGTGCCGGCTGCGCTGACTGCGACTGGGAGTGCGAGCGTGGATGGGGTGGCAAAGTCCTTCACTCTCACGCCCCTGCAGGCGGGCACGACTGGAGCAGTGTTCCTGTCGGAAAAGGTGCCGCTCTTCTCCTACCAGCTCATTGCTGACGGGTGCGGCCGCGAGCTCGCCTTCTCCTCGTCTTTCTCCTTCACTCTCACCCGTACGGCCGCGGCCGGCTCCGAAGGTTTTGCCTTTGTGATAGCGTTTGACTCCTCCCCACCAGCAGAGGCGGTGGCAGGTGGCATGGGGTACGCTGGGATGGCTGCGCGCAGCGTGGCAGTGGAGTTTGACACGTGGCAGGATGGCGGCGGCCCCGGCGGGACAAGCAGAAGCAAAAACAGCAGCGGCAGCAGCGGCGGCGAACCGGGCGGGAACCACGTGGGAGTGAATGTGAACGGCAGCGCGTTGTCTGTTGCCACAGCTGCTGCCCCCATGCCGCTCAATGACGGCACTTCAAAGTACGCCTGGATCGACTACGACCCCTCCGCTCCTCCTGATGCCGCTGCTCCTGCTGCTACAGCTACTGCTGCAGCTGCAGGCACCCTGCGCGTCTTCCTCTCCTCCACCCGCTCCCCACGCCCGTCCAAGCCCGTGCTGTCAACACGCATCTCCCTGTGTGACGTTCTCGAGCCCACCCGCTTGGAGAGCACATTTGCGGTGGGCTTCACTGCGGCATCGGGCAGCCAGGCGCAGAGGCACGCCATCTCATCGTGGAACTTTACCACGCGTGAGTGTGCCAATGTCACTTGCGTACAGGCATGCCAGCCGGGCATGTCTTTTGAGGCACCTCTTCAAATGGTGATTCTACGTCGCCATTCTGCAACAGTTTGTACGGCTGGGCTCAAAAGCTTATCCAGTACCACTTGTGTGAGTGTGGCTGTCGTCGATTGGTTCAAGTATCTGCTACGCATGCTCCCCTGCGCCTTATCTCATGCTACTTTTCTCCCCTCCTTCTCCATCTGTCATTGGTCCTGCACTGCCCCTTCTGTTTCAGTAATCTGAAGCTGACATTGCTCCCTGCTTCTTTGGTATCGTTCGCCATGCATCTCTCCTCGTCTCATACCCTTTCTTTGTCAAAGTCGGTCCCGCCCACCCCTTTTCCTCCCTCCCCCACCCCTCCGATGCCTTGCAGGTTTCCCACAAGCACCTGCCAAGCGTGGTGGTAAGTTTCCTTCCCTGCATGCACACGCACACATGCAACCTTCCTTGCCTTTCGCAAACCCAGTAGCGTCTGTGTTCCTCGCTTTCTCTCGCTTTTAAAAACCTACTACAGGAACAGAGAAAGAAACAACCATTGACAACATTCTCCCCTCCCCCTTACGTCCCACACCCTGGCCTGCCTTGTCCCCGCCTGCTTCTCCTCCTCCTGCTCCCCCCTGCCTGCTTTCTCCTGCCCTTCCCTCCCTCCCTCCCTCCCTCCCTCCCTCCCTCCCTCCCTCCCTCCCTCCCTCCCTCCCTCCCTCCCTCCCTGCACCCTCAACCACCAACGCATTGCAGCAGCGTCGCTGGGGCTGCGGGTGAGCGAGGCGACCGTCAGCCCGGCAACATCAGGCATGAACATGCTCTTCCGCTACGCCAGCTCTGGCATCCTGCCACGGGAGGTGGGCGACAGCAGGAACCAGTACAACGTGCGCCTCACGTCCACGTGGCTCCTCAAGGACCTCTTCTGGCCCGTCAAGACGCAGACTGCCTGTGGTGCGTGTTCCGAGTTCTCTTCTGAAGCGCCTTTTGAGGCGCCTCAGGACGCAAAACCCCACCGGGTTCAAGTCTTGAGAAGGACGGGCTCGCGCCTGCCATAAGCCAAGACCCACAATGATGCCTGCAGTGCGCCCGTCTCCGAGTGCTTGAGCTTTTGAGGGTTCTTGTTTCTGTTCAAAGAGGACCCAGACACGCTCCGTGTGATAAGTCGAGTTTTGAGTTTGTCAAGAGGACTCAAAACTCGACTTATCACACAAGAGGACCCAGTCCCGCTCTTCGTTTTTCTTTTCGCCGTCGCTTTTTTGGTCTGGTAGGCAGACTCGCATGGATTTGTGAGTGTGGGTGGTTCTTGCAGGCTAACTGTGCTTATCGTTTTTTTTCCGGCCCTCTGTTCTCTTCACTTGCCATTCATACTAACTGATCTGTCGCGTCCCCTCTTGCTCTGCATGCGCCTGCCTCTCTGCCTGTCCCCCTCTTTCTCTTCCCTCCTGCCTCTCTCCATCTCTCCCTTTCTCCCGCCTACCCCTCTCAAATGGTCCTTTGTGTTAATTCAGCAGGGGGTACAGACATGCAATTTGACTCGTGGTTCCCTTATACCTTCCGACCCATCAACCCATCCCTCTGACCCTCCCCCCCCCCCCCCCTTAGTACCCCTCTAACCCTCCAGCGTGTGGAGGATGTCTAACCCTACCCCTCTCTCTCTCTGGGTCTCTCCAATCACCCCCAGGCGACTGCTGGGCGTATGCGGTGGTGGGCAGCATAGAGGCGGCCTACAGCATAATGGCGAACCTCACGGTGGCGCCGCAGCTGTCAGCGCTGCAGCTGCGCTCCTCCATGCGCGCCGACTGCCAGGGCGGCTCGCCCTCCCAGGCCTTCGCCTTCCTCCTCAAAGCTGCCCGCTCGGGGAAGGCTCCGCGATTGGCACGTAGCGGTGGGGGGCGGAGCACCATGGTTGTGGTGCCTCGGATGGCTCGGGGGAAGAGTGTCAGTGTCAGTGTGAAGCCACAGAAGAGGCGCCTCTTTCGGAGGCGCCTCAGCGACGGTGGGGGCAGCAGCAGCAGCAAGGCGGTGGTGGCCTGGAGGGGGGCGACTGCGAGTGCGAAGCAGGAGAGGAGTCCGCTCTGCATGGCTCCGTTCGCTCCGCTCCTCAAGCTGCTTGGTATCAGCTGCAATGGCAAGGGTGCCACTAAGGTATGCCTGCCCGATTGCCTGGTTGCTCAGTTGCCTGATTGCCTGGTTGCTCAGTTGCCTGATTGCCTGCCCGCCCCTCTCGATCACTCCCTCCCCCCTCTCCCCCACTCGTCCTTCCCGCCTCCACTCTTTCCTACCTATACCCCCCGCCCGCCTTTATCCTCCACCGTCTTCTTTGTTCCGTTCTCCCCTCCTTCCTCCCTTCCAATCTTTGTCCACCTGTCCGTCTGTCTGTCTGTCTGTCTGTCTGTCTGTCTGTCTGTCTGTCTGTTCGTCTGGTAATCATCCATCCCTCTCCCTACCTGGCACTGTCGAATGATCCCGGCCATAACAGCAGCAGGCGCTCTCAGGCGACTTCTACATCAAGGGATTCGAGTCGACGTCCTTCTACGGCTGGTTTGGGCTGCTGCTCGCCGTGCAGCGCCAGCCAGTGGTGGTACAAATAGAGGCAACGGCACCGTCCTTCCAGGATTACGATGGGGTGAGTGAGCGGGCGTGTACAGTTGCTTGTATTATATTTGATTTGGGCCGGTTCTCTCAATAGTCCTTCGATCTCGCCCAGCTTGCCACTCTCCCACAGCGCCTCTCTCTTTCTCTCTATACTATACGAAATCACCAATGCCAGGAGCAGCCTTACCTTGTTTGTAGTTGCCCGTAAAGGAGCGTTTCCAACCTTTTGACTATTCATAACCATCAACAACCACTCCGAATCCCCCTGCACTGCACTCCTCAGCTGTCCAAGTACCAGGACCCAGCGTGCTTCACGTACAACCTGAACCACGTGGTGCTGCTGGTGGGGTACCGCCTGGTGGGGAAGGACCCGCGCTTTCCCCACATGGCGCCACCTTATTGGATCATCCGCAACTCATGGGGGGCTGATTGGGGCGATGGGGGCCACATGCGCATGGGCATCCAGGGGGGGGATGGCGTGTGCGGCATCAACACCCTGCCCGGGATCTACCCCATTGTCAGAGGTCAGTTTGATGTGTGTGTGCACGCACGCGCGTGTGCATGCGCACTTTCCAACAATCCACCTTCCTTAACCCTCCCATTGTCGTTCTCCACTGTTTCACTCTTCAACCCCTGCGAAAACTTTGTGAGTGAATTTTCAGAATAATTCTAATAACAATAATAATAATGATGATGATATTAATAATAATAATAGTAGTAATAATAATAGTAGTAATAATAATAGTAATAGTAATAATAATCATCATCACCATCATCATCATCATCACCACCACCAC